CCATTGACTGTGATATGCCAGTCTGCCATAATCAAGCTCTTGACTCCCGCTACAGTTGCCCATTAGTGACATACAAAAGCAGCCCTGACCAGGGGTGTCTTTAAGGTTTTCACTCCCACATTTGAACTTCTTGGCCACTTTTTACGGTGGTAAATGAGAGAGCACCTGTGCCTTACACTATCACCTTATGTTGATGCAACTCCTTTGCTGGGAAACTTTGGTTAAAAATTGTATAACACTGATGTTTGATTTTACCAGAATTTGTAATTATCTCAAACTTCATAATTTAAACACTCACTCTGAAACAATAAATAGTATGTTATTAGTCAAATTAACTGGAACAAATACATAAGCATTCAACTTTACTAAAATTTTAGATCCTTGCTATATTGTTTATTGCTGCATTGTAAAACTTTTTGACTGCTTATACAGTATATAAATATAAATATATATATAAATATATATATATATATATATATATATATATATATATATATATATATATATATATATATATATATATATATATATATATATATATATATATATATATATATATATATATATATATATATTATATACACACACATATATATACAGTAATACCCCGATTTACGATTTGATTTATGATTTACGCGGTCACTTGAACCTGCGGAGTAGCGCGTAAAACGAGAAACGTGTAAATGGAATAACAGAACATATGGGATTAATTGAAATAGAGACTGGGCCGACTTCCAAACTCCACTTTTTTCAACACAATACCTACATTGTAGTAAAAATAACATCTTAATTTTATGGTGGTATGCACATACAATTAATATTTAAGAGAAATACAGTCGCCAGGTTAATGTCCATTCAAATAATGGACTTAACTCCCGCCCCCCCTCTCTTCCCACGCTCGCTGGCTCCTCCTTCTCTGAGAAATGTTTGGGTGAAAATACTAGATTTTAAGGTATATAGTAATAAATAATACCTCAGGCTAAAGTTAGGGTAATATAATTGACATTGCTGGACTCCTTGCAAGACCAGGAATATTTTGAATATAAATGTCATATATTTTGCACAAAAGATAAAATTTTGGCTCTGTAATCAACATTCTTACTTTAGATCTAAAATTTGTACGTCTAATGCAAATTCCACGATGTTTATATTGAAAATAATCACAATCTTACAAGAATTCCAGCAATGTAAATTATATTCTGGCCGGGTAATTTGTATGACTTTTATGAGCTAAAACAAATATCTTCAGTAAATAAACTAATTATACTTGACCCAGACACTATCCATCAATCAAAATACCCCACCTCCGCTCCCCCCCTCTTCCCATGCTCGCTGGGTCCCTCCCTCCCCCACACCTTCCTTTCCTACCAGAGAAATGTTTGGGTGAAATCATTAGGCTTCCATTTTTAGTAATAAATAATACCTCAGACTAAAGTTAGGATAATATAATTGACATTGCTGGATTCCTTGCAAGACCAGGAATATTTTGAATATAAATGTCATATATTTTGCACAAAAGATAAAATTTTGGCTCTGTAATCAAAATTCTTACATTGGATCTAAAATTTGTATGTCTAATGCAAATTCCATGATGTTTATATCCAAAATAATCACAATCCTACAAGAATTCCAGCAATGCAAATTATATTCTGGCAATTTGTATGAATTTTATGAGCTTAAACAAATATCTTCAGTAAATAAACAAATTGTATGAGTATATTCACCGCGTAAATCGGGCATCCCGGTTCTGGCAAGGTACTGCGTAAATGACCAAACGTAAACGAGAACTGAGAACCGCGTAAACCGAGGTATTACTGTGTATATTACATATATATATATATATATATATATATATATATATATATATATATATATATATATATATATATATATATATATATATATATATATATATATATATATATATATATATATATATATATATATATATATATATATATATATATATATATATATATATATATATATATATATATATATATATATATATATATACTGCCCTAGCAAATGAATTCCATGAACTGGTAATACGTACACAAGCTATTTCATCATTAGGTCTCGTAATGATAGAAGAAACAAATAAACAGTTATAGTGGTAAAAGATCACTCAGAAGCTATATAAATAAAAGATGTCATCATTTGTCACATAATGTTACTAGCACTGACTTCAAAATTTTAGAAGCTGGAATGCGGCTGCTATAGAGGTCAACTTGAATTGCTGAATAACTGATGATTTATCAAATAATCTCAAAGATCATAAGGTATATGCCTTAAAATTCCAGTATATACCATTTCTGATGGCTGCATCTGTTTGTGTAGTGTGGTTCTGACCACAGCTTAGTCTGTGTCATTGGGAACTCATCTAGCTCTCTCTCACACTCTTCTGATCTACGCAGCGCTCAAACTTGTCCGATGCGAGATGTGTCTTTTATTGTCAACTTACGTCTTGTCTCCAGGCCGGCAGTTCCATGGCTTCGCCTAGGCCTAATTTATTTGAAATCACAGTTTTCTTCTGCTGCCGCACGCAAGGTGGCCACGGGTAGACCAGCAGTCATCACCACCAATCGCTCTCCATCTCTCCCTTGCTCTTTCTGTCATATGGAGAACACATATTGTTTAGTTGTAATCTTTCGTCCACTATTACATCATTGCCTCATAAAATATATACAGTACAGTAATCTGACTGAGATGATGGTGTGACTCAGAGAGAAGGAGTGAGTAGAACAGTCATCATGGTGTGCGGAGGCTTCTGGTGTGCCCGTGACTTTCGCCTCAACTCTTGCCTGCCTCCTCTACTATATTGCTCCCACATCTTCACTCGGGCTGCTGCATTCTCTGTATTATTACTAGATTGTTATAACTTTTACTTTTGGGGATCTCTCTTGTTGTATTCCAGATATTTTCTTTTTGTATAAATATAATAATTAAACAATAATCACGCTTGAAACGATTTAATGTAATAAAATATGTAGATAAATATGAAGGATGAACATAGCTTGTTGATATTATTGAATTTTTCTGACCATGTACAAATGAGTCTACCATTGGGTTCATCTTCCATCAGGAGGGTTGGAGAATTACTGTTGATCTCCTACCCTTGATGGTCAGGACGCGAAGGTGGGTTGCTAGGAGACCACTACTCTGCTCGTCGCCTCTCCAGTAACGGCCGCATCACCGTTTTCTTTCAGCGGGCGAGAGGGGAGACGGCAGGGGAGCCGACGAGTCCTGTCTCGACTGTGCTCTCTGTACTCACCCTCGCCACCGCCTCTCCTCTATACACGAAACCCGCGAGAATGACTTAGCACGTAATGCGAGGATGGCAGTCTAAATTTTATATTTTCACTGTAACTTACTCAGGGTGTGTAAAAAATTCAATTACATGTATTTGCGTCTTTCTATTAGCCTTGGTGCTATTTTTGTTCTTTTAACTTTATACAGTATATTATTCATTCACCTGCGCTCATTTCAAATTTTTTATGTTTTCTTCTTCATTTTGATAATGTAAAAGCCCTCTGGCTTTTCATGTCAATACAGTTGGTTTTGCTGTCCAAGTAGCTGGGGTGGGTCAGTCGGTAGTGCATGAAAGCCTCCAGAAGTTGCCAGCCGTCCAACCATATGTGCTAAGGCTCATCCTCGTTGTGTGGACTCTGTCCTAGGTTTGGTGCGTAGAGGCTCTCATTTGACACTCATCACACAGTAGTGAGTCACTTTAGAGAGCTTAACCTAGCATGATAGAGAAAAGGATACACACAAGAAAACAGGTCTCTGTACCTGGGGTAACCAGCTGATCCAGCCATGGTGACGCCAGCACCTCTGTCCTCACCAGCTGTAAAATAAACCCTACTAAATTTACCGGACAGGATTTAATGATTATATTATCAGATCATATTACTGTCTTTCAATCTACAACAAACTTTTTTCAAAATTAAATAAACGGAACTCACAATCTGGACTTTAACCACGGGCGTACCCAGATGAGAGCATTGGAAGGTTCGACTGGACAAGAGGTTGGAGCTGTGGCCTGGAATGAACCCCACGAGGAAAACCGGGACCTGCTCACCAGATTATGTGGACTAGCACAGCTGTCTAGCACTCAGAGGGTACTAGATTTTTAGTGAAGTAATGGAGGATGGTCACTTGTGATGCTGAAATCATATACAGTACAGTAAAAAAAAATGGGGAACAAGAAAGACCCCTCGAACCCCTGGCTACGCCTAGAGTGATCCATTGGCTGCAATTCTGTTTTCTTACTTTTGGTGCATGGGACTTTCATGATCATTGTTTTTGCGAGGTAACTCTTAGAATCTCAGTATGCATTATTTTGCAGTGAAATATTGATTTCATTTGCTCAAGGAAATGTAAAGTAGACACCTGTACTATGTACCTAAATTTCTTTTGACCTCGTCCTCCGGTAAATTTATAATCCTTGACCACAATTGATAGTTAGGTCTGCTGTCAGATATGCCAATCAGGTTTGTCATGTGATGTTAACGTTTTTTTTTATCCTACCTTGCAGAGTGCAAAGCTAACCTAGCACTCTAGCCACATTTGCAGGAGCGAGTCAACCAGGAGGCGGAGAGGAGTTGAGCAGTGAGTGTCAGCAGCTGGGTAAGTGGCTCCCTCTTGTGCTGAAGTCTTACAGGCCCTCACCCACCCCAGCTCCCATAACGCTATACCCACCTCACTTTCAGTCACTGTCACACATGCACAACAACCTAGTCTGTTTGTTTGTTTCAGAGATAGTGCCGGTCCCCGGCCAGTGTGGGTGAGTAACTATTGATCGGTCATGTTGGCTAACCCCTGTAATAGCGGCGCCAGCCATGCAGGGCGTATCACTGGGTTGCCGTTACTGGGTGCGGGGTTCGCCCTTCGTTCACACAGCGGAGCCGCGGGGGCGTGTGTCCTTTGGGCATCACTTCCCGTGCGCTCTGACACAACCCAACATCTTGGTGCTGTATTAACACTTCCTCCTTCCACAGGGCGGCTACGCTGCCTATCACCTTCCGCTGCATGAATGACAAGTGTGGCGTCGACCCACGAATCTCCCGCTTTGTGCTTCCCATTGGTGCCACTGTCAATATGGATGGGACGGCCTTGTTTGTATCCGTTGGTACAGTCTTCATTGCTCAGATGAATGAACTGCCCATAAGTGTGGGAGAATATGCTACCATCATGTAAGTTGAGTCTCTTTGTTTTAGACTATATCTTCTATAGATTTACAGCTGCTTGTTCCCTTGCTGAGGCATTTAAAATATGTAAAGATGATAAAACTCAGACCTGGGCACAGTGAGGAAATTTTCCCAAATAATAAAAACAAAGCATTCATCTTTTTAAAAGATGTATTCAGTACTGTTTTTTGTGTTTAATCCATCAAAGTTTTGTAAACATAGTATTAGTGACCATAAAACATTAATGATGATGATGATAAAGATAAATATGATAGATGATAAATACGTGCTTGACTTCTCTGTGTACAGAGTATTAGTATGTGTTGTAGAGTATCCAATGTGTACTATTTTATGCTCAGAGTGACTGCCACGGCTGCCAGTGTTGCTAGTGCCAGTGTACCCAGTGCCGCCCTTGTCCTCATCCTCATTGTGCTCACCTCCGTCAACCTACCAGCAGAGGATGTCTCTCTGCTTTTCGCCATTGACTGGTTGGTGTAAGTATTGCCACCTCTGTAACACTAATGCAGAAATTCTTAAGTACCCAAATTTTTTAACAATAGAAATGTAACTGATTCCATGAGCTGATTAGTAAATACTGTATCGTCAAAATGACAAGGAAGTCAAGCTTTCTGAGTAGCTGGTAAGCCAAGTTTTGGGGGAATGAGATGGGAACTTGCTCACAGGTAAAGTACTGGGTACAAGTGTCCCCAAACTTTTCATGGCAACAATAAAGTTTCCTACAAATTTTAGTAAGGAAATTATCAAATACCTGTATTGTAAAGTACCTTGTTTGTATAAGCCAGTGATAAACATTACTACTCCATCCATTTTCTCTTGTACTGGGTAATTCTTAATACATGTATCTTTTAATGTTAATTTCGACTACTGTATATTATTCCATTTTAAATCTTATCTTGTTCATTTCTCATGCAGTTATTTATTATGTCATAGCAGCATAGAGCACTTTGATTAGTGGTGATATCTACTGCATTCACCGACAATGGTGGAGCCCTTTATTTTAACCTTCAGTCAACTGCCAGAGATAGACTGTTTCCTATGTGGTATGCCCATAAAATATTGTTAATGATGATGATAAGGGAAGTATACTACAGTAATTGGCCAAAAATGTATCTTCCATATTATCTGCTGTTGAACAATGGTATAGTACTACCGTCTTATGATCCTACAGTAGATACGACTACAAAGCAAATTTATTCAGTAGATCTGATTATTCTATCTTTAAGAAAGAACCTTAACTTCTTCATTAGTATACTGTCCATTGAGCATAAGAAGTGTGATTACTATATTTTTATTTGGCAGAGACCGTTTCCGCACTACTAATAACATGCTGGGCGACTGTTACACTGCTGCTATAGTGGAGCATTGGAGCCAGGGAGAGCTTCAGGCTATGGATGCTGAGGCCAATGCAGAGAATTACTCCAACGATGTAGAAAAGGCAGCTGACCTCACCCCTCTGGTAACCCGCCAGCATGACGCTGACCCAGACTCCCTCCTGCATGAACCTCCAACTCTCTTAAAGGGCGCGGTGAGCTACTAACACTACTAATTGTCCTACAGTTTTATTTTAGCACTCCTCTAGTTGGACTTCAAGCATGGTATTTTCGTTTTGGTATAAGTTTTTCAATAGCTATCATAGTGCTGTCACTAATAATAATCCTAACACTTCTCGTACTGTTCACACATATTAGTGTAGTGGTGCAAATTCTTTCTCTTTATATTCTACATAAGCTGCCATCATTTGTAATGGGCCGAGTTTCTTACTTCATATTTTACCCTCCAGATATTCTTTTCTGGTATTATTCTTCAATTCTTTATTTATAAATATACTTTATACTCTTGCTTATATTCTTATATATGCAAGTCTCTTCTCAGTTATGTATGTTTTTTATATTAAACTTTCATGGTGTATTTATTTAATAATTTCTATGCTGTGGCTTTAGTTCCACAATGTACATACATGTCTTATCTTTCTTTTCTTGTACTTTCCAAGTCTTTCATTTCTTTCATATATACTGTATTATGTTTACTCAATTTCACTGTTCTTACCTTTCTGAAGTATACTCCGTTCTACATCTATTCTTATACATGGATTAGTCTGGGAACCATGTTATTCTTAGTACACTTATTATACATGCAAGTAGGCTGTCACCACCAGACTTTTGGGTTAGAATATAACATATCTCATGGAAAGCTTATGGGTAGTGTGGTAGATGTATAGGCACGTGTGTAAGTATTATTTTCTGGGAACTAATGTTTAGAAGGAGTAGAGAGGTGATACTCGTAGATTACTAATTCAATATTTATTAATACAGTGAGTGAATAAGATGTTACTTAAATTCACCCAGACAAAACTGGACTCTCAGGTCTTACTGTACTATTGACAAAACAGATCCGCAATTACTTATCAATTCATCAAACACTTCAAGTACGTATTATATCATAAAACACCTCCAAGTACTTATTACTTCATTAGACAATTGTTGTATTATTCCTCTGACAAATGAGATTCAGTAATTATTATACACGATAAGATAACACTGGACCCTCAGGTCTTACTTTATAAGTAACAATTTACATCTTCAATTCTAGGTTACAACATTTAACAATCATTATATTATTCCATTGTTACTGCAAGTGGATAATATGACATGCTTGACACTATCCCGAATTAAAATAGTCTTTATAACAATATGTTATTTCGGAATGACTAACGTGACACTTTAACGAGTATTCATTGGTTTGGTGGACTCAACTCCGAGAATAACAATAACCCTAGTACCACCAACATTCATGGATTCAATACTTAACCTGGGATGACTATATTTCTGCTAGTCATCCCCAAGCATGGATATTAATACGGCTACATACATATAACCAAGAACAGTAGATGGGCCATGATCACAGGACGGAGTCAGTGGGCCAAAGTTGTTTACAGGCTCGCTTGCTAGCTCAGAGCGCCTGGCCCGGGAAGGGTTGACTCGTGGCGGTGGGCCGTGGCTGGCAAACTCGACACACACTTACTTGACAAGTTTTACTAACAATAAGGACAGTTGAAGCTTTCAACACCACTCACAATGGATCTTGAATGTTCCAACTGTAAACAGACATATCTAGGTTGCCTCACCAATTGCAACCACAGTTGCAATTTCAAATTCTGTCATTACTAAGGAATAATGAAGTCTCAGGTACATTCAAGATTGAGGGAAAACGGCAGACTCAGGTGTCCTGAAGCGCTGAGAAAACGGACTCTTCAGATGGGGACTTCAATAAGAAAGCATAGCTACATAATTTGTGGGCTATTGAGCGTAATATGAATCGTCAGATTTTACGTTAACTGACGTGTATGACCATGGTCATGATATTAGACATGAAGTTTTCTCAAATTTTCTCAAACTACTATAGTTCCAGACAATAATCTACAGCATTTATATATGGTAGTTATATACTGTAGTGACAGGAATACTTTGGAAGTGGAAAGCGGTGCAAATTAGAAATGAGATAAATTATATGTTCAAAAGCAAATAGGTGGCTGAGAATAAGAAATAAATAAGGAGGAATTGTTAGAGAGAGAAGATTAGGATTTGCACTAGTGGTGTTGACATTTGAGAATTGTAATGGGAAGTGCGAGATTGTTTAAAAGAGTATAATTCAGAAGGGATGGAAGGGTGCAGAGGAAAAGACCAATAGAGATGAGTCTAACAGAAGCACTAGCAGGCTCATCATAACAAACGAGGAGGGCATGGTGGCCAAACTGGAACATCTAGCCCCAGTTGGCACCAGCCACCATATAATGTTGTCCTTCAGATTTAACTGTTACTCAGTTCAAGACAAAACCAGGCCAAGGTGCAAATATTGCAAGGAAAATTACGACGGAATGAGGGAGGAGATGAGGGATATCCACTGGCCTGACTCACTGAATATCATAGCCAGTAAAGTGACTCATTTGATCGAAAAATACTGTATATACCCAAGACCAAACCCAGTGCCTTTAGGAATACAAGGAGACCGCTACACATGAGCCATGCGGCGGTCGACAAAGTTAAGAAGAAAACCCAGAAATTCAAGACGTGGGTTAGGTCAAACTATGAGCAGGACAGGAGGATGTATGCAAGAGCCAGGAACCAAGCAAAGTCAGAGTGTAAAAGGGCTGAGAAGGAGTTCCAGAGGCTGGTTGCAAGCGAGGTCAAGTCAAACCCAAAGGCGTTTTACCGCTATGCAAATTCGAAATTAAAAATGCAAGTAGGAGAATTGGACCTGAGGCTTGACTATGGTAGTTACACAGATTCTGACTAGGACAAAGCTGAGGCACTGAACAGCTTTTTTTCCTTGGTGTTCACAAGAGAGGATGCGAACAATCTTCCTGTGTTTGAGGACAGCCGGTACGACACAGCACTGACCAGTGCCGGATTTAGACCTGTGGAGGCCCATGGGCAGCCTCTTTGTGGAGGCCCGCCTCATTATAACTACCCAAGGGGTGGCGAGTGAAGCGAGCCAAAACATCTGGGAGTTCCAGGGGGCGCTGTAAGCCCCCCGGGAAAATTATGAAATTTGAACTTTTCTTTGGAGAATTTTGAGGCCATATGCAGTTATATTGAGGAAATTAGAACATTGAGAAATTTTTAATTAACTGTATATTTATTGATAGTGTACAAATTCCCGACACACACACACACACACAAAAGTGACACATGACTGGAGTCATTCATGTGGTTTCAAGTCGACCAGCCCTGATATAGCTACTACCGCACATGTCAAAAATAAACATGAATTTTAAAGAATGAAAATAAAAATAATCCAAATGAATAAACAAATAAATAAAATATTGTAATATGTGGAGGCCCCCAGATTGTGGAGGCCCCTGGGCAGCTGCCCACTTTGCCCACTCCTGAATCCGGCCCTGGCAATGACCCACATTGTGTTCACAGAAGAGGGTATGAGAAATAAACTGTCAAAGCTAAAGGTTCATAAGAATTCCAGACCTGACATGGTGCATCCCAGAATGCTAAGAGAGTTGTGCAATGAGCTTGCTGAGCCCCTGAAGATCCTGTTCAGTAAATGCATGGATGAGCAAAAGGTCCTTAGTGATTGGAAAATGGCTTATGTGAGTCCTATCTTCAAGAAGGGCGATCGTCATTCCACGAATAACTATAGACCAGTGAGCTTAACCAGCATAGTATGTAAAGTACTTGAGAGCATTATAAGAGATGCCGTGATGGAACATCTACTACGAAACAACCTTGCAAATAATTGTTAACACGGTTTTATGCCAGGACGCTCCTGCTTAGCACAATTACTCAAGGTACTGGATATTTGGACCCAAGTTCTGGAACAGGGTGGTAATATCAACAATATTTACCTAGATTTAGCCAAGGCTTTCGACAGTGTACCACATAAAAGGCTGAAAATTAAACTGGAAGGGTACGGAATTCAAGAAATGTCCTAATGTGGATCGGAGACTTTCTCCATGACCGCAAGCAGTGTGTGACGATTAATGGCACGAAATCGTCATGTGTACCCGTCACAAGCGGGGTACCACAGGGCAGTGTATTGGGCCCACTGTTGTTTGTTTGCTTCATAAATGACATGCCTGAAGCTGTACATTCCTCCATACAAATGTTTGCGGATGACACCAAGTTATTTGGGGAAATTAAGAACCAAGCAGACTCTGAAGAGCTGCAAAAGGATCTCTGTGAGCTTCAAGAAAATGGTCGAAGAAATGGCTGCAATGATTCCATCTCACAAAGTATAAGAGGCTGCACCTGGAACATACCAACGGTAAGTAGGCGTATCATATGTCCCAACGGGACGAATAAACTGCATTAATTGAGACTGAATGTGAAAAGGACCTGGGTGTACGTTGACAATGAGCTGAAGTTCTCGGGCCATTGCGAGAAGAAGGTAAACCAGGCAACTAAATTATTAGGTCTTATAAGAAGGTCGTTCAGATATCTAGATGGTCCGTCCCTCGTAACAATTTCAAGAGTGAAGTGCTTCTGCGTCTGGAGTACTGTCACCCCATCTGGTCCCCAAGATATGCTTAGGACCTGTCAGTTGATGAAAATATCCAAAGGAATGCCACCAGACTGGTGCCATTACTGTTGCACCTCAGCTACTCTGAGAGATTAGAGCGCCTGAAATTGCCTAGCTTATACTACAGACGGGCAAGGGGAGATCTAATTGAGGTGTACAAGCATCTCAAAGGGCACTACTCAGTCAAGTGCCCTTACCTGGAGCTGGCAGACGCTCGCCCCACAAGGGGTCACAGCTCAAGGTTGAAGAAGCTGCAAGCCCAGAAAACTGTGAGGGGTAACATTTTCGGAGTGAGAGTTGTGAACTCTTGGAACAATCTGCTAGAGAGTGTTGTGACGGCTTTTGTGATGCAACAGGTGTAAACCCAATTTGGGGTCTTGTTGTGGAGGGGAGGGGGACACCAGAGTAGAGCACATATTTAGAGCAGTAAGAATGATGGAAAAATGTGTATTGTACATGTATTTGCTGTTGTTGATAATCACTCTTCATTAGTGAAATGAAGTAAAATGATTACAGTATATAAAAATACTGTACAAATAAACAAACCTTAGGTAACTGACATAACCCAACCAAACCAAACCTGTTCTATACTAAACATAACCTTATTTAACCTGAATATTAGTCCTGTATACACATTGATTATACTGTAATATAAAAAGAATACTGTATATACTTTTTTGTGCAGTTCTTTATAGTTTAGCCATGTAGCATTAATGAAAAAAAAAATCTGAAAATATAAATTGTTTTAAATCCATATGTAAATTCTCTCTTCTCTTTGTAATTTTGTTTTCAAAACTTGAACTAAGTAAAGATTTATGACATTATGGGTTGGTAACCTCTAAAAAAGAGTTAGCTTAGACCAAGGCACTGGTATGGTGAGTGGAGGACTCAGAGCACACTTACAGCAGATAAATACTCCACCAACTGTATCTACAACAGAATTGACTCCACATCTCTTGGTTTAATAAACCAGAATGCTACCACCGAGCCAAGGTGCCCTAGCTTCATTTTCAAGACATAATTTCCTTGTTCTTTCTAACCTCCCTCATGGACATTTATATATTTTTTCTCTCTCAGTCAGTTTAAAGCATCTACTTATCCTTGTTTTCTTTACCGGTATGTGACAATTTGAGCACATTCAATTTTGCTTTCCAGGATTCCTCTATGGCCAATGGCAAAATGCTCGGCAGTGGTGAGATTCATGTTGAGGTAGAAGAGGCCCCCAAGGACACAAACACCACTAAGATGTAGAAATTACCTCATTTTCCCATGTTCAGCATTAATCTTCATCATCTGTGCAACAAACAATTCTCAAGCAAGAGAATCTAAGGAACTCAAGAGGAAAAAAACTTTTGAACATTTGAAGTTCTGGTATGAATCATTGTTGAATAAATTCATGAAATGGTGGAAGAGCAGGATTATTGTTACAAATTAAGAGTCGGTTTTTACTGTATAATGTTTGGATTGATCACAGTGAGGCATTATGACCGGGTTATATCCAGAACTGTACTTACTATTAATAGGTGCTATTTTTTGGCACATATCAGAGGGTACCCTGAATTGTTGCTTAATGTTGGTAAATTCATAGCCATAACAGTGAGATATTAATTTACCAAGAAGTGAGTGCAATATAAGAGGGATGCTCAAAAAGTTCAAGGCCTCAAGTCTCTAGGTCATAATTCTCCAAACCTGAAGTCTTTTTGTTAAGAGTCTTTAGGCCCTGAAATATTGTGACTACCTTTTGTATATGCTTGACTGACAAATCCCCTTTCATACCCTTAAACATTTGTCTGTAATCAGATATATTAGTGAGATGATAGGCTTAAGGATTCAGGTTCTAGATCCCTACATGTATTGTTGAATACCTAAGAACAATAAATGCTTTAGATCTTGACGTCAGGACTCAAAAGAAGGTGTCAGACGTTAAACCTGTGAATGTACTCGAAATAGAATGAGTGGACCAGGTGGAGTCACAATTCCTAGAACCTAGATTAGTATTAGAAGACTGGGTGAGAAGTAGGCGGTTGGCAATTACGCTTTTCATTAATAAAGTATTCAAAGCTTCCATAAAATCTGGTTTTATCACAGTTTTCAAGTAAATTATTTTCTTGAACTTTATCTGTGAATTCATGAATGAACTCACACTTGAAGCTGTCAACCTCTTCTTAATGCAAACTTGTAACAGAAAACTATTTTGTTACAAATGACTTTTCCTTGTAATATGGTTGATCTGTCATACTCCAGTATGACATTTATTTAATTAAAACCTAATATTTTGAATGCTGTCAAATCTAAGTATGATACACTAACAGGCATACAAGCATGTGATTCTCACACTTCACAAATTTGAACTTTACCCATATTGGGTAAACCATGAATGAATAGATTTGCTAAGTGAGAGAACTACTGCTAGTGCTGAGAGATACATTTCTCATGCATAACAGCATTTTTCCATTATGAGAAAATAGACAGTTTAGTCTGGCTTATACACCTGCACAAAGGAGATATTCCCTTACCTGTCTAGCTACTGTTTGTGTGGCCACGACTGCTAAAGTTTAGCCAAGCAGGACAGAGTGGCCTCTCCACAGGACTTTTGCCTGTGCTTGTAGGTACAGTAGCTTGCTCGTAGGTGATTGAATTCTCAGTTGTGCAGTGGTCTGTGTGTGGCTCATGCGAGGTACTGTGGACTAAGGACAGTTTAGTTATTTGTAAGTGTTCCTCATTGGTCCACCTAACATATTGTCCTGTTTCTTTTCTCTGATTCAAGAGTATTTTCTTCTGTCCTCTCCACAGTGCTGGCACACATCTGTGCCACTGCAGTCCTGGATACAACTGTTGCCAGTTTACAGGACATGATCCATGGATAGGATTAAATATAACATTTAACATGCCATATACAGTAATCATTATCCACCTTGTGTATTGAAAAACGCCCGGAACCAAAGGCGGGAATGGTGAAATTCTGTTATTTGTAAACTGTGCGCATTTGAGTTGTGAACAATTTTTGAATTTTTAGTACAAAAGAGAATGAAAGAACTGATACTGCCAAAATATAACTTGTTGATGCACCTACCCATTACATCCTCAATACTGTACACATCTTTGATAAGTTTAATTTATGAAGATAGTGTAAACTACTGTACCACTGTCTGTAAATGATTGTATTAATATCCAGTGTGTCTGCTGTCTGTTTTAATGCAAGAACTATTTAAACTTTATCAAAGATGTATATTAGTTGTTCTAATGACTAGTATAGTTAATTGGCAGCCCTTAGTAACTGTGATCACTAACCTGTGATCAAACGGCACTTGAAATGAAGTGTTTGTAGTCCCGTGATATTTCTGTTTTTCTCTCAAGAAGGCTAAAGGCATGAATAAAACTTATCAGGTTCTATCATTTATGCTCTAGCTTTAAAAAATTAAAACTAATGCCTTACCTTTCACTGTAGATATTTCAATGTATTTCTTTCTGGTGAACTGAGCATTCCCTGAAGGTCTTCCATTTTTCATAGCCTCACAAGTATGTACACACACACTAGAAATAAGAGGTTGCATTGTTTTTTGGTTAGACTTTGACACAACCGGGCATAGCATTCTTTGATGGAAGGTTCATCCTTCTTACATAAAGTGCTCTTGGGTGTGTGTTGATATTTGTGAGAAATTTATTCCACCCTGTTCCTTCACTAGTTTGGGAACATTGGCCTCTCAATTAATTTTTGTGACCTTTTGGGCATCTTCAGTATCTCAAATGTGATATATTTTTAAAAGATACAGAACCAGTTGTTATGAGAAGGTATGACTATTGGTATCAGTCGATGCACTACAACTTACATTGTTATTGCTAATTCAATGTGTCACTGGCTGGTCAAGAGTGAACCGCTGGTAGGGTTGTGGTAGAGAACAGTTCCAAAACTTATACCTGATAATGAACTTTCTACCTACCAACCAATGGTCCAGAATTATTTAATTGTATATTTGCTTTGAAGGAAAATAAAATAAAATGGGCAAATCCAGAAGTATGCTCCTGCATACTTTCAAAGCATATATTATTAGTATCAATTCAGAGCTGATTACTAGGTACCCACATTTCATTACATACTTAATGTGATAATTTGGGGCTTGAATTTGTTGATATCTAAAATAAGTTATTAACTAAAACAAATGTTCACAACTTGCAATAAGTATCTGCAGTCGCATGATTCCTTCCATTTAAAGTATTAAATCCTGGATCTGTTCCTCAATACCTCATTACTGCTGACTGTCACTGAAGGTGTTTACTACTACTACTACTACTACAGTATTGTGCCATATTGTGGTTGTCATTGTTAGCAACATTGTTTTAGCAGAAACTGTCACACATTATTCCTCACATTAGTATTATTAGTGTTGATAAATACATTATCGGCATTTTGATTGAAAAGACCTGTTCTAGTCTTTTTAAAACAAACTGAATGGTAATAAAATTCCTTTTTCTCTACAACTGTGCCACATACAGTATAGATGTAATGCAGTGGTCACAAATCAGGGATCATTAGTATGTACTGTAATGTGTAAGCAGCAGCAATACAGGGTATGTATATGCTGTACGAACATACATTCATAATGCAGATTTACTGCTAGATTCTTATTCATTACTCATTAACATATGGAGCATTTTTGTCAAATACTTATGGCTTTGTTTACTAATAAAACAACCATTTAACTATTAAGTTTGAACAATTTGGCTTATTATTTTTATTCTTTTACTGAAATCAGATATCGATCACCAAAAAACTAGGTTGTCTGCCAATTTTTGTGCAAATATGTGAAAAGTACTTTTAGAATAAAAAAAATGTGTTTCCACCACTATAGAAGCTTGGTTGTCTACCAATGTTTATGTCACCATGCAGACATGTGTTTCCCTTGTACAGTACTGTACATGTACAGTATTTGGGTAATACAACTAAGATTTTTGTAGTCTCTGGTTAATACTGTGGAAGAACTGATAAGAAAATTTTATTTTGAAAATGTCCATTCAGTGTACGTATTTTATTCTAGGTCAATTCTCTTATTTAACTTTCAACTCACTTATATTTCCATTTTGAAGGAATGAGTGTGCAGGATTATCGTATATATAAAACTTCTAAATTAGGGAATCTGGTCCATTTTTATTGTTAAGAATTGAGAACTATTAGTGTAAAGAGAACAAGAACATAATCTTTATGTGTTTACAGTACTGTCATGCAGAAAAAGTTTGTGAAGATCAAAACATTATCTTTAGCAGAGGTGGAGTAGCAGGTCTGGGCTCTTACATGTACTGTAGTGCTAATGTTGTTAGCCACTCTGTCTATAAAAATATTGGAAAGAATTTATCCATCATGAATTTATGACTAATGGGAACAAGAGCTGTTGACTCTTATAATTTGTGTTTTTCTTTCTGGAAGAAAGGTATTCCAGATTATTTTGCATTTATATAGTTTGGACTTTCTAAGTCAAAATATGTAATCCCACTTACAGTTTAGTGTCTATAATACTACTTAACTGAACAAGTTTTAATGTGTTTAATTTATTCCCTTATACAGTACTGTATATGACCATCGCTAGATATACAGTATGTGGTGACCCAAAAGTCTGGCCCCATAGTTTTCAACAGTACTGTACTTGTATGTCATATAACTGATGACAAATTGATTCTGCCATATAATACAGTGTAACTCAGGTAAGCTTTTCCTTGGTTATTCTGACAATGATAAACAGATGCTACATGTCATTATCATCCAAAAATCTCCTGAAGGACATGCTCATATTTTTATACCTTATTACATGACAGAGTTAACACATACACTGTTGCCAGTGGTCTGGATATAGATTAACCTGGACTAGCCGGTTGGCCTAAGGACCTTAAAAGTATCAGTTGGTGTTTACATGCCACAAGTGAGGAGCTCTGAGAAAGTGTCCATAAATCATTCACCACCTTCTCCGGGTCATCACACAATACCCACCACCCAGATAGCTTAGAAAGTATCCTCTCCCAGCAAGTGCGGACCCCAGTTCAGGGGGCGCGCCACTCCGAAACTGACCACGTCCAAGAGTGGGGGTTGGTGGTAAGCGTCCACTGATCGGGGGTCCGCTCACACCTGCAATATCCTTTCATATCCGCAGGTAGGACAACCTCCAACCCCAAATCCGGTCTGGCTGCTCCAGGAGCTCCAGCCAGAACCACCAAACGGGCCGCCTATAAGCAAAGGCCCGTGTCGGACTACGGTCCGATAATCTCAACAACAACATAACAACCGTGAACATCATTCTACTCAACGCTCTCAAACCAACAAGACCTCTCAACAAGCTCCTCACCACACAGCAATTCCCTAGCACTGCACTGTATGTACATACAATATATATACTGTATACAGAAAATGCCATTGTGAGTTTCCCTTCTTACCTCCATCCTTAGTGCGAGATTTCCTACATGTACGTATGTATGTGAGCCCTACAAAGAGAAAATGGACAAACATATAGAAGTTTGACAACTGGCCACATACAGTACGCTACAACTTTCTTCATGACCGCAAACAGTGTGTGGTGATTAATGGCACAAATCACAGGTACAGAAAATTATCATGGCAAACTTTTTGGGAGTGAGCTAATTTAGACCAGACTTCACCAACACTGGCCCGGCTACAGGACTGTACAGTGCATGTACAATACTTGTCAACAGTGGGTAAAGGAGACGCGACCGATCGCCCAAGCGGCCAACTGGTGGTGAAGAGGATAAAGTTTAAAGTAAAGAAATCGTCATGTCTACCCAAACAAGCGGGGTACTGTGGGGTATGAGATGTTTGTTCACACTCAGGATGGGATGGAGAAAGGAAACTCACAATGTGCTCTCTGTATACATATTGTATTGGGGGGGAGCTGGTGGTGGAACGGTACCTTGCCTCGCAAGCAAGATGTCACGGGTTCGATTCCCGGGCCGGCGGAAGTTGTTTGGACACTCTTCCTAGTCCCCTTCATTCCTGTTCACCTAGCAGCAAAGTAGGTACCTGCTGTAAGTCGAAAGTTGCGAATTCGTATTCAGGGACAAGTTGTTGGAACTTCCAATAACTTGCTTAGACATAAACCATTGACTCTTCAGGCTTCTACGCCCTCGACTCTTTAGGCTTCTACGCCCTTAACTCATGAGACATAAGGCAAGCATGAATTTAGCATGCTTCCCTGTTGGGCGCTGTAAACGCTTCTGCGCTTCACCTTACACAAGGATGTAGGGGAGTGCCCAATAAAATGAAAAAAAATATATATATTGTATTGGATGTACAGTGCAGCTTGGCAGCTTGGTGCTGGGAAGTGGCAGCGTGGTTACAAGCATGATGTAGAGAGAGCTGATTGGTGAGGATGCTCAGAGGAGGACCAGCTTGTGGGTCGCTATGCTCGCCGGCGGGAGCGAGGGCCGCCAGGCAGGAGGAGGAGGAGGAGGTGTTGCTTGCTGGTTGGTGTAGGTAGAAAAGAGATAGGTCACCACGAGGTCAGGTCTTATATAGCGGAGGTAGGGGTGGCTTAATAGTTGACCTCCGTCATGTAAGGCAGCGCTGGTTGACCTAGACCACGAGGCATACACTGGGGAATTCGCGGGGTCGGCTACTCAGCGACAAACAGCGTTTGTCGGGGAGGAATCCACTGCAGTACCACAGGGCAGTGTGCTGGTCCCGTTGTTGTTTGTTTCATAAATGATATGTTTGCGGACGATGCCAAGCTATTCCGGGAAACTAAGAACCAACGGACTGTGAAGAGCTACAGAAAGATTTCTACCAGTGTTAAGAGTTGTCGAATAAAGGGCTGTTAAGACTATGTCACGAAGTGTAAGAGTATGCACCTATTCATACCAACAGTAAGGAGGTGTATCATATGCTTTTACTTTTATACTTTTATCATCTTCACCACTGATTGGCTCGTTAGCCGCTAGGGCGATTGGTCACGTCTTTGATTACTTTTCCTTTTCATTTATCCTCTTTACCAAAAGATCGGCTCGCTAGCCGCCCAGGCGATCAGTCACGTCTGTCACGCACTGTTGGTAAATACTGGGCATGCACCGGCTCCTGAATGTACCTGAATCCGCTCCAGCATTGGTCAAGTCTTGTCTTGAAAGAGCTCACACTCGGTGCCGTCACAACACTTTCTGGTAGATTGTTCCAAGAGTTTACAACCCTCACTCTGAAAAACAGCGTTAACAGACCGAATGTGAAAAAGACCTGGGTGTGAATGTTGACAATAAACTGAAATTCTCGGACCATTGTGTGAAGAAATTAAATATAACAAATAAGCTAGTAGAAAAAAAAGAAAAAAGTAGGTCTTACAAGAAGGTCGTTCAGATATCTAGACAGGCCATCTTTCATAACACTCTTCAAGAGTGAGGCGCTCCCCTGTCTGGAATTTGTCTCTTAAGATATCAAAATTATAATTAAGCTAGACACCAGACTCCGAAGCAGTGATCCCCAATGCCATCAGGGAGGGGACTACTTATCGTCGGGTGTATCTACAGATCCCCAAACTGTGGCCCACTAAATTAAAGGAACTTAAGAACATTAATAAACAATGCTGCGATGCTCAACCCTAGCCACCTCCTTACCATGGGGGACTTTAACTATGGCGACATCGACTGGAGAAACGAGTCCACCCCGAATGACTTGAATAACCCAGCTACTCTTTTTGTAGAAACTCTGAGAGATAATTTTCTGTTCCAACATGTTAGAGACCCGACACATTACAGAGGGGAGCAAACACCCAAGCCACTTGACCTCATCATAACAAACGAGGAGGGTATGGTGGCCAAACTGGAACACCTTGCCCCAGTTGGTACCAGTCACCATATAGTGTTGTCATTCAGATTTAACTGTCACCTAATTCAGGATAAGGCCAGGCCAAGGTGCAAATATTACAAGGGAAATTACAATGGGATGAGGGGTATCAACTGGCCTGACTCATTAAGGTACAAGAACGCAGACACTACGCTGAATATCATAACTAGTAAAGTGACCCATTTGATCAATAAATATATACCCAAGACCAAACCCAGTGCTTCTAGGAATACGAGGGGATCCCTACACATGAACCATGCGGCGGTTGACAAAATTAAGACGAAAACCCAGAAATTCAAGACGTGGGTTGGGTCAAACGATGAGCAAGACAGGAGGATGTATGCAAGAGCCAGAAACCAAGCAAAGATAGAGTGTAGGAGGGCTGAAAAGGAGTTCCAGAGGCTGGTTGCAAGCGAGGTCAAGTCAAACCCAAAGGTGTTTTACCGCTATGCAAAGTCGAAATTGAAAACGCGAGTAGGAGTATCAGACCTGAGGCTGGTGGATGGGAGTTACGCAGATTCTGACCAGGATAAAGCTGAGGCATTGAACAGCTTCTTTTCTTCGGTGTTCACAAGAGAGGATGCAACTAACCTTCCTGCGTTTGGGGACAGACGGTTCGACACAGCACTGACCCACATTGTGTTCACAGAAGAGGGTATTAGAAATAAACTGTCCAGGCTAAAGGTCCATAAGAGTCCCGGACCTGACATGGTGCATCCTAGAGTGCTAAAAGAGTTGTGCAACAAGCTTGCAGAGCCCCTGAAGATCCTGTTTTGTAAACGCCTGGATGAACAAATGGTTCCCAGTGAATGGAAAGTGGCTTATGTGAGTCCTATCTTCAAGAAGGGTGATCGTCACTCCACGAACAACTAGAAACCGGTGAGCCTGACCAGCATAATATGTAAAGTACTTGAGAGCATTATCAGAGATGCCGCAATGGAACATCTAATACGAAACAATCTTGTAAAGGATTGCCAACACGGTTTTATGCCGGGGCGATCCTGCTTAACACAATTGCTCAAGGTATTGGATATCTGGGCCCATATTCTGGAACGGGGTGGTAATATCGACAATATTTACCTAGATTTTGCCAAGGCTTTCGACAGTGTATCCCACGAAAGACTGAAAATCAAACTGGAAGGGTACGGAATTCGGGGAAATGTCCTAGCGTGGATAGAAGACTTTCTACATGACCGCAAGCAGTGTGTGGTGATTAATGGCACGAAATCGTCATCTGTACCTGTCACAAGTGGGGTACCACAGGGCAGTGTATTGGGCCCGCTGTTGTTTGTTTGTTTCATGAATGACATGCCTGATGTTGTACACTCCTCCATACAAATGTTTGCCGATGACGCCAAGTTATTTCGGGAAATTAAGAACCAAGCGGACTGTGAAGAGCTGCAGAAGGACCTCTGTGGGCTCCAGGAATGGTCGAGGAAATGGCTGCTGAGATTCAATGTCACGAAGTGTAAGAGGATGCACCTGGGGCGTACCAACGGTAAGGAGGCGTATCATATGTCCCAACGGGATGAAGAAACTGCACTAGTTGAGACTGTATGTGAGAAGGACCTAGGTGTGTATGTTGACAATGAGCTGAAGTTCTCGGGCCATTGCGAGAAGAAGGTAAATCAGTCAAATAAATTATTGGGTCTTATAAGAAGGTCGTTCAGATATCTAGACAGTCCATCCCTCGTAACGATCTTCAGGAGTGAAGTGCTTCCCCATCTGGAGTACTGTCACCCCGTCTGGTCCCCGAGATATGCTAGGGACTGTCAGTTGGTTGAAAATGTTCAAAGGAGGGCCACCAGACTGGTGCCTGCACTTCGGCACCTCAGCTACCCTGAGAGACTGGAGCGCCTGAACTTGCCTAGCTTATACTACAGACGGGCAAGGGGCGACCTAGTTGAGGTGTATAAGCATCTCAGGGGGCACTAGTCAGTTGAGTGTCCTTACTTGGAGCTGGCGGACGCTCGCCCCACAAGGGGTCACAGCTCAAGATTTGAAGAAGCCGCAAGTCTAGAAAACTGTGAGGGCAAACTTTTTCGGAGTGAGGGTTGCAAGCTCTTGGAACCATCTACCAGAGTGTGTTGTGACGGCACCGAGTGTGAGCTCTTTCAAGAGAAGACTTGACCAACACTGGAGCGGGTTCAGGTACATTCAGGAGCCGGTGCATGCCCAGTATTTGCCAACAGTGCGTGACAGACGTGACCGATCGCCCAAGCGGCTAACGAGCCAATCAGTGGCGAAGAGGATAAAAGTAAAAATATATTATATATATTAGCCTTGTCAAGTATTTCTCGTTAGTCTGTACTCACCCCTGAAGATGTGAATTACACGAAAACGCTTGGGAACTTCGTGTTTTCTCGTTTTCTTGTGGTTATCAGCATATATATATATATATATATATATATATATATATATATATATATATATATATATATATATATATATATATATATATATATATATATATATATATATATATATATAACACAGGTGGGCTGGGCAATAGATACTCGCTCAACAGGAGATTTTTCGTCTGGGAACAATAATTATTGGTAAATGTTAAACTCACATAAATTCAGATTTGGAAAATAGTCTAAATCCAGTCGTGCTGACCTCATATTCTGGATTTCTTTCTGCACATAAAAGTTTCTCTATGGGTCGCCAATAGGAGAATACTTTTTTCCAAAGAAAACATATTGTTAAATGCTATTTTGTTTTTTATGAGTGCTGGGTATACTGTGTGTGTGAGCTTCACTTTGTCTATGGACTTATCTTGTAATATGATTTATTACTTTTTATATACAATTACTGTTCGTGTTGTAATTTCTGGAAACATTTAAATATTTTTGCAACAAATTAAATTTTATGTTTTAGTGTAAGACGACGAGAATGTGTTTATTAAAGTCTCTCATGTGATTGTTGTGTGGAGAGGCTCGTATGGTGTAGGGCATCAGCTGTTGTGATGGTGTAAAGATGTCCAACGTTGCTGAACAGATTCACCTTTATCAGCGGAAATTAGAAAAATATGCCAAAGGCAAGGAGACTGATAAGGTGAGGAGAAGAGGAATATAAGGAAGTATTGTAGTGGGGAGTTGTTTGTTGGCGAGGAATAAAGGTAGTGGAACATGTGGGGAACCTACTGTCTCAGGCGAGGAAAGTTTGCTATATCGGACTGGTTATTAGTTAGTAAATATTTTATGGATTGGGGAATCATCGGTGCTCGTCTTAGCTTATCACGCAACAGAGGATAAACCCTAGATTTTGCTACAATTTATTTAATTCACTTGGACTTAGAAAACTACTGAAATCCACTTTTTCTAATTTAACTTTTAAGGTGCAGGAAGTACCTTCCAGCTATTGAAAATTAGCCATTTATTCATAAAGTCCGGTCTGTAAAATGAATGCTGGTGTTATTTAAAAAAAAATAAGGTAAAACTACTTTTCATGAACCTGCATAATATTCAAATGATATTTGTCAAGATTTTTATATAATGATAACAGTGTTTCTTATGGAAAGGAAGAAATGCAGGATGGTAGAAAAACAACTCAATACTTACTAGAGTTCAGTGGTTGGTTTCCACAGGAGGATCAGTGGCACATGTATTGTTGACATATGGCAGCTATGAGCAAGGTAGAGAACCACATAGCTATAAAAGCAGTTGGCACACACCAACTTGATCCTACCTAATCTTGGGATATTATTTGGTTAAGATAAGTTCGATGAGTTAATATAATCTTTCATAAATGGATTAACATTATATACTCGTAGACAATATGTGTTACCTATGCTCCCATTGCTGGTCTGGTGATGTTATATTTTAGGTGTACAACCTCAGTGCTTGGGTTTTATATATCTTTTTCAATGGAATTGTATTTTTACTATAAGTATATAAATCTAGACCCAGATAATGATGGTTTTCCTTTTGTTCTGTTACCTTATTTCCAGTGCGTAGGCCAAAGTGCCTTTTTGGAATTTGAAAATCAAAGTGGGTAATTGCTCCCAATGGTACAGATACTGTGTCCATTATTTTTACCCTACTGTGAATGTACTGATTGCTGAGTGAGATATTAAGTGCTACATAACACCGAGTGAGATCCTTAGGTGCTACATAACAAGTGAAGTTGGATACAGATGAAGTCGGCCCTTGGTGACTTCGGCCCAGTTACAGTGGTGATCTCGGCCCATTTCAGTAATATCGGCTCACATAGGATGTGGGGCCAAGGTCAACAATGACATTAACAGTCAGGATTTAAATATGAGGCTTTTTTCCAGTAATAAGGAAAGATAATTAATTTTTTTTTGTAGAAGTTCCTTATTATACCATTGTTGCATTTTCTGTGCTGCCATTCATTGAATTGAAACAGTTTATTTAGCCAGAAAAACACAGATACAGAGTGGATAATAATAACACTATTAACATGGCTGAGCCAGTTGAAAAACTGAGCTCTCTTTTATAACAGAAATCACACTTTAGGTAGCACTTTTTGTCGGTTTTGAACTTCCAGTTCACAAAATTTGAAGTTTACTGCTTTTAATATTTCCTGAAGATCCACAATGGAAACGTGGGCAGGATAAATCTCGATAAAATCACACAGGAAACGGGAAACAATGGAGCACCTTAGCTTTTGCATTTATTCAAGACATGTTCAGAGGCAAGTGAATTTACAGGGACTGAGAGAGGCTTATATACACAGGGTGACCTTATGAAACATCAGGTCAGGTCAATAACATTAGATCCACTAATCCACACACCACCACCACCGCAAACTTAAGAGGAGCTTATAAAAATGGGTGACGTAACTAGTCTTGTCAAGCCAGGTCAAAAATATGAGACCCACTAATCATCTATCCTACATTGTACCTCAAATGCTTTCAAAGCATTTTTAACCTTGGGCCCTTGACAAATAAATTTATGTAACATATCAGTTTTGTACTGACCATCACAAAGGTTTATGGAATTCATTTCCCTAATGAAACTTGCTTCAACCAGAAGTCTTTCTGTGACACATGATGATTTATACTTTTCTAAACTGTTTTCCCTATCACCGAGTGAGGTCATTAGATGCTACCTATCACCGAGTGAGGTCATTAGGTGTTACCTATGACCGAGTGAAATCATTAGGTGTTACCCATACTGAGGTGTTTGTAACCTGCAGTTTGGTACTGAATTCAAACAGGTTCAGTAAGGTAGTGCAAATGGATGGAAACTAATGATTAGAATACAGTAGGTTTATATGGTGTCTGTCATGGTGTTTCAATTGAATCTGATCTTCATTTCTTACAATTTGGAGTCTTCAGAAGTGGACAGGGCTTTGAAGTACATTATAGGAAATTTGTGGGGTAAAAGCACACAAAAAATAATCTAACATAACCAATCCTAACCTGAATGGCTTGCCATTCTGATTGGGAACACCCATGACACACAGAAGATATCATACAACTGACAAATTCAAAAGCTTGGGCATGCTCAAGTGTATCACATGAAGTGTGACTTATGCTGATTGGCAGAACATAATCACATGTGTAAGAAGTCAACACTATATCCCGTGAACTTGTTACAGTGAACTTAAATCCCTCCAAATTTTCATTTCATAAGGAAATTTGAAAAAGCAAAATAACTCAAAAAATATAAATTTGCGAGGAAAATACTATACAGTACAGTAAAAAAAAAAAAATTGGTGTGTATGTGTTCTATCTCCCTTTAGTAAAAATCAATATAGAGTTCCATCCATGTCCACAACTGAATCTTAACCCAAACAGAAAATTCACAATGTTTATTGTGTTTTGTCATCATATAGTGTTGAGGCAGATACAAACACGAACAGACATCACACCTGTGGGAGAATCCACTGCAAGAAAAAAATTTTGATTCACAAACAGAATGGATAGACTGTAACAAAATCATTGTGGGGCACATATACAAAGATGTGACTCATAAATGTTTCTAGGATTTTAATGGGTATCATGCCATGCACATAAATGTATACTTTTTTTATGTACTATACAATAGTGCACTTTATAATCTTGGTGATACAAACTAAGTGGGTTACCTGTGTTGTTTTATTCTTATTTATGTAATTATTTCTGGACACAGAAATAAAGGCTATGAGTTACTGTGTATGCTTTGCACAACAATAATTGCCTTATCCATCTGTTTAATGAGCTGTGAAAAGAAAACAATTCAGACCATTTGAAGTTTAGTATCATGATACATTTACGGTTGGATGCTAATACATGCTGTATCTGTACCTTGCATGGTTTTAGATATCTGATTTTAGTTGAAAGGAACTGATGAACCCTATACAGGGGTATACAGTACAATTTAGTATTTTTTTTTCCAAATTTCCAAACTTGAATAGAAATGGTGTTTGGGGAAAAGTCGTAAGTCATATTGAGGGGGTTTCAAAATTGTATACTGTACTGTATAACAAATACTATATACTGTACTGTATAACAAATATTGTATACTGTACTGTATAGCTCTAGTAAAAGAAATAAGGTTCTAAATTTAATTATGAGGATGGAGCCTTAAAACAAAACATTACTGTTCTGCTGATTTCCTTTAAAACAGACCTGATGCTTTATTATAAGTTTGAGTTATTTTTTGCTGATGTCTTGCACTAAGTGACTCCACAAAGAAATTGTGAGAGAAAAATTCAGTGCCCCAGTATTCAATGATTTAAATTCACCCAAGAATGAAAATGTCCCTTCTTCATTTTTTTGCAGACCACCTACTACTGTATACCATAATCAGTTACTGAATTGAAAACACATATTCTTAGCTTACTGCTTGATCAACAATCAAAATTTTTATATCAACCTTACAGTACTGTGAAATATGAAACAATATTCAGTCATCCATTGTGGTTGCTTTATCAACCACAATGGTAGTACAGTACAGTTCTGGGAAAAGTTTCTCAGAATTTTTCAGAAATTGCATGTTACTGTATTTCATCCTTTGAATTTGCTCCTAGACCTACCCGGAAAAAAGTTGGAGAGTTTCCAGAAATCTTCTATGAATTTTTTTATCCAATTTCAATAAATTTTGTCTCATTTAAATAGCCTGGTAATTTGTCAGAATTCAGCTAGGGAATTTATTTTTTTAAATATCTGTAGGTTATGTGACATATTGCAATAATTAACTTACAAATTGGTATTGAAATAGTTTATTAAATACAGGTACTCCCGACTTATGACCTACTCGACTTACGTCCACCCACACTTACGACCTGCCTCAGTCGTACCAAAATTTGGTCAAATTATGTATTTTTAAATCCCAAATTCAGTACACAGACAAAATTTTCATCTGTAATTCACTTTAAAATGGCTGGCAAGCTTAAAAGTGAGTGTTTTGTGGTGCTGAGAAGAAAAAGAGATACCCATTTTTTATTTTCTGTGTTATTTAAGCATTTCCGACATGACCATTTCGACTTACGACCTGGATGTCGTTCCCTAACCCCGTCGTAAGTCGGGGAGTACCTGTATGTGTTGGTTTTTTGGGGGTAGAAAAAGTTAAAATCGCCCAGTACTTGAGGGATATAAGTGAGAACAGTGCGGTACTTTTGACACAGGTAGTAGGCAGCTACCAAACAGGGAGGTACTACTGCCTGGGAAGATATTGGAAGCATAATGTATTGTCTATGGTAGACCCTGCTGCCATATGGCATCACAAAAATTGTGACCAAGTCCCAGGTTGCTGATCTGACTTTCTGCCTCATTTACACACAATTGCAGGGTCTCAATTGTTTCTCTTACTATTGACAACACAACATACATATATTGTTTCTCACTTTTGATTTTTTTCATTTTGTATTTCTTTATGGTTCGTCATTATTATTTTTACTATTATTTTTATTATTATTATTATTATTTTTATTATTATTATGATCATTATTACATTTTTGCCCCCTAGGCCCCGATGTGGGTCAGTGACCTGTGCCTGGGTGGGCTAATCCCCGTAAAAAAAAAACATTTATTTTATTGCATGATTCTAACACCTTTCAAAATTGGTCTGGCATTCAAGGATAGAAAAAGTAAGGATTTACATAAAAGAAAATTAGTAAAGGCCTTAATTAACCATAGCAGACTTTGTTTGGCAGTGTGCTGTTTTCCTAATATTGTACAGTTCTGTATAACCCTATTGAAAGAAGAACTAGTAAGGGAGGAGAGTGAGACTGATAGTTAGTAAGCTCAAGAGTGGTAAGACCAGGAAAGGATGAAATCACCATGGAAAGGTTAAAGATGGGAGGTGGAATTGTGATAGAATGGATGATGAGTCTACAGGATGGTTGGTGAGTGTCTCTGCATTTAGCAGGAAATGTGGTAAATAAAAGGAAATCCTGCATTCATTCCCAGTTTTGAAAACCCTGTCTACTTCTTTTGGATATGTTAAGAGTGTAAGATCTCACAATCAATATAAACGTTGCCTCTCCTACCATAGTCTTGTTGAAAGTATTATTAACTTGGTACTGGTATGATACATACCTTAATACTACTGTATAGTACAGTACACTCTTTATGATATTTATTGATATCGGTTATTGTACCCTTAGCAGAATACAGAATGGATTGTTTTGTTCATTAAGTGTGTTGGAATATGTTCTAATTTAATGCTTTAAAAAATTGTTTCATGAGAGAATATTGTCTTTCAGTTACTCTACTACATTCACAAACTGAAATATTTAGATGTGACTGTCAGCCACTTAGAAGTTACTGGTGTTGGCCGCTCAGTTAATTCCCTCCGTCACCATGAAGGATTGGTGGGGGAGAAGGCACGAGCCCTTGTCAATAAATGGAAGGTGATGGTGAAAGCTGAAGAAGATGAAGGTGAAGATGAGGAATTTGAGGAAGAGGAAACAGAGGAAGAGGAGGAGGAAGAGAAAGAGAGAGCAAAGCCTGTTGCACCACAGAGGGTAAGTTGTTTTCAGTATTTCCCTGGAGGCGCTATTGATTTGATTGAGTCTTGCATATACCGTACTGTATTATGTGCATTTATTTGTAAATTTGTATCAGTTTAGGCACATTTGACAATTTGGTTTTCTACAGAATAAGAGTTGTATCTGAAAAGCAAAATTATTTTCTCAGAATAAGGAAAGGCATGAGGCAGAGGACCGGGACAGTGAAGGAGGTGAAGAAGACGACGAGGAAGATGACCGATTACAGATAGAAGAAGATGCAAATGAAACGGTGGAATATGAGGATGAGGGCGATGGTTACAAATATATTCCAGAGCCTCTTATGGGGAGCAAAATCGGGAGTGGGTATGGAGACCATTCACTGGACTCGGATGATGAAAATATGGACTCTTACAATCCAGTCACATCACAGAGAGATTATCAGATGAATTCAGGCAGTCCAGCCATTGCAGTAGAGTATCATCCCTCTGGTTCTAGGATGGATAGCCCTGCGGCCATCTCAAGTCCAAGCTGGAAGGATGGATCACCAAGTGGGTCCTTTGACAGAAAGAATGGAAGCAGTAGTAAATCTTCTCCCAAAAAGAGTATTAAAGAAGACAAAGAGAGATACAGAGAAAAGGAGAGACACAAAGACAGAGAGAAGAACAAGCATAAAGAATCCTCTGGCAGTCATAAAGAACATAAACATAAAGAAAAGCATAAACATAGAGACCGAGAGGAGAGAAAAGCAGAGAAAGAAAAAATAAAGTCTCACAAGGATAAACACAGAGATAAAGACAGACACAATAGTGACAAGACACCAGACAATAAACATAACCAGGAAGAATACAGTGAGAAGTCAAGATCAGAGAAGGATTTAGAGGGTGGTATTGTTAATGGCTTCAGTACTCCAGAGGTAGAAAGATCTGTTGAAGGAAGGCAAGAATCTAGGGACAGTGATAAAAGGGATGATGAAAAACGAAAAGACAAAAGTCACAGGAAGGAAAATAGTTCAGGTAGAGATAGTTTACTTAAAGAAAACAGAATAAAGGAAAGTAGTAGAGAGAGAGAAAGCAGTAGAGAAAATGAAAACAAAGTGAGAGAAAAAGAAAAGAGGAAGGAGGAAAAACACAGGGATAAGAACAAAGACAGTAGTGCATGTGGTAGTAGTAAAAAAGACAAACATAAGAAAGATCTAGATCCAAGGAAGAATCAAAGAGAACTAGAGGATTCAGAGAGTGATAAAAAGAAAAAGAAGAAAAGTGATGGAGATGAAGGAGCAGCCTTTGGTGCAGCATTGATGGGTAAGTATCTTTAATGTAAAGTTCTCTCTCTTTCTCTTCTCTCTCAACAAAAATTTCCAATTTATGTTGCTTCTAAAAAAAATACATTTGTTTAAAAAAAAATTATTTCATCTTTAATTTTCTAGAAGTTCATGAGGCCATGTATAGTATATGGTATGTTTGTTTGTTTGTCTTTACTAGAGGCTTTGTTATTTGGGGAGATCAGTGCTGAAAGTATTAAAGCTGACCTTTATGTTCAAGGATGAGTTCAAGAGCTTTTGGGATATACAGTACTGTAATGGGTAGTAATGCAGTACTGTACTGTATATATAAACTGTGTTGATAAATTTTGGAGGGTTGGAATCAAGAGAAAACTGTACAGTATCTTCCTTTGCTGCCATTTATTCTTTAACTTCTATAACAGATGTGTTGTACCCTCTTTTGTAATTAATGTTGTCATTTAAAATACTGAAACAAGAATACTTGTATGTACAGTATTTGAATATTTGAGATATTAGAGGAGGGGTTTGGTATACATATAGCGAATTTGTTTGGATTAGAAAGGTAATACCGTACAGGTGTACTGGAACTCGAGGCGTGGTTCGGTATATAGAAGTTCATTATAGAGGTAATTCTTTATTCAGAATAGTTGGGGATTTATTATGTTGTGACTTCTGCTTTATGTATGGGAGAAATTACTTCAGGGGCATAATCTCAGTTCATGTTCTAATTTTCATAGTACTGTACAGGTAGTGTATATATATACTGTACTGTATTATTTTACCGCAGGTCTTGACTCTCCTGTGAAGAGGAAAAAAAAGAAAAAGAAAAAGAGTCTAGAGAAAGAACGGGATAGTTCAGATGATGAACAACCATCAACCAGTCACTCATCCAACAAGAGGATACATTCAGATGGAGGAGGACTACCGGATCCTAAAAAGGTGGGAGTAGGTTATCTATGTATTTACCTGAATATTACTGAAACATAACTAATTGATTATTTTCTGTGAAAATTCACCTACCTAAAGAATGTCAGTGAAGGACAAGTTGATAATATTTTTTGTGAATTATTGACTCTAAGGTTAAGAGCATACTTGAAAATCATATTGGTTAATAGTTGTGAACTGTCACTGATGTTATCACATGCACATTGACATTACCCTAGATGAGTTAATGTTTAGCTACTGTATTGTGTAGTATATATATTGTAGTATGGAATTCCTTTGCCCTGCAGCCGAGGCTACTAATACAGTCACCACAGAAGATACCAACCTTACCCTCCTTAGGACCTTTAATACCAGATGAAGCTCCTCTTCTTCCTGAAATAAACCCCAACTACAAACCCTTACCTCGAGTCCCAATACGGGATGAACCATCTGACTGTATCACTTCTAAGATGACAGAAGAAGAGGCTTTGAATATTATGCTTCAGTCAAAAAGTAACAGGTAATTTGCATATTTTTGGGTTCAAAACATTGCTGATGATAATTTTGTAGGCTTAAAAATTATCTTGGATTGGGAAGAGTAGAGGGACATTTCTTTCTTGAATAGATTGTTAACTCTTTTCATTTCTAAGATTTCAAGCTCACTCAGCAGAGTAAGATTATGTGACCTATGCCATCAATTTTAAACCCACCCAGTGACATATATGTGATTCCTTTTTACTGACACTTGAACTATAACCATATTTTTATTTTTATTCTGTATCTCCATCTACTCTTTCATCTTGAGTCCATTCTTCCACTGTATTTGGTCCTATTAGTTTCTTTGAACATATATTATTGCATTTTCATCCTCATTATTTCATATTGCATAACCTTATTGACCACTCAGTTTACAGTGAGGGTAACCCCTCTGATTTTGTTCTTACCTTCTTTCCTTATAATTACTCTTACTTTCTTGAAACATATCATCCTCATTACTCTCTAGCACCTAATAGCCATTCTACCATTGGATCCACATTTAGTTTTCATAAGTCAATCCATATTTTATTACGTATTGTATACGTACAGTACAGTACTGTACAGTACAGTAGTCTGAAATGATAGATTCCATATGTTTGTTCCACATGGTTGTCAGTATTGTTTCATTGCTTCTCAGATTTGTGTTTCCTTGTTCTCTCTCCCCACTATCTCTTTCATCTCTCTTCAGATATCTGTTTCATATTTGTCTCCAGTTACCTTTTACCTTTCTTCTTAGTCATTGGCTTTAATCTCTCTACACTAATATTTGTTTGTGACACTCCCTAAACAAAGCCCTGACGTCCTTGCTGATAGTGTTTGCATAAATATATCTTGTTGAGAACTAACTTAACATTAATCCCTTTCAGACGTAGCAAAGTGTACTCAGGCAAGGTGTCTGGCTTATCTTATGTGCCGACACTATATGAGGTGTGCATTAGAGTTCTGCAAGAAAATATTGATGGTGAGTTTTGTTGTTGACCAAAAATTTTCCAATTTTATAGTTTTCTTTTAACATAAATGATCCTTATCACCACAGATAAGTGCCTTCCCTTCATATTGCCCATCATCAATACTTTAGATGAATACACTCCAGATGGGTGATCGTGGATTTTGTGAAGCAACAGGATAAACCAGATGGGTATTCTGGGTCCATGCTATGGAAGGGCATCACCATAATAGAGCACATATGTTATGGCAGTTAGAGAGAATGAAGTGAGAGTCATTGTTTGTTCTTGACCCCAGCCAGCCTGTATCAAAGTAGGAGTACAGTATCCTTGCAAGAGTTCATAAAATTTTGATCTTGAATATACTAAATTCATCATTGATTATCTAAAGAGTTGTCAACCAGTATTACTCCATTGACTTGACTATGTGATTACAGCATTGGAGTTCACTGGAGGAATTCCCTTTGAAATCCTTCGGCCTGTCCTAGAACGAGCATCACCACAGCAGTTACTTAACCTAGAAGATTACAACCACTATCTTCTGCAAGACACTAATGTACTATGGGAGATACACTGCAGGAGGGACTTCAGAAACAAGGCAAGTCAATGGGATATTGATAACAGAGAGGAGATTGAAAATGAAATAGGAGCTGCCAGGAAAAACAAAAAGTGACACACCTTTGGCTTAGATTTTATCTCTGCCGATTTAGAAACAGACATGACAGAGAGCCATCTACACCAAGCATACTATGCACATTATACTATCTAAATTCACATGACTCATACCACAGGCTGTCACATCATTCATATACACATTTACTTTCATTTAAGCCACTTTCGCCTATTGTAAATTTAATTTTCTTCAAGAGATAATAATGAGGATGGTGAGAACAGTGTGTGAGAAATGACTATGGAAGTGTGGTGGTTCATAATGAGAGGGAATTGAGGGTGCTTGGAGAAAATATTAGATATTCTGCTTAATGAGGAATTTGATTAGGATGGGCAGCTTAGAAACAGCAGAGCCAATACACAAGTGGCTGGAAGAAATTTAGGGAATTGTTGTGTTTATTGATGGTGACAAAATTTTTATTATTGCATGAGAGTTGAATATAGCTGGCATAATGAATGTGTTGTTGTATGGCAGCAAAACATAAGTAGTTAAGTAGTAAAATTGGATAACAAACTTGAGTGAACTGAAATGAGTATGGTGAGATGAATGTGTAATGTGACATTGAGAGATAGGAAACCTGGCATAAAGCTGAGAGGGCAGTTGGGTATTGAGGGTATTGGCAAGATTTTGTGAAAAGGTAGGCTGAGATGGTTCAGGCATGTGGAGAGTATGGAGGAGACCAAATAGGTCAAGAGATGTAATAAATGTGGAGGGGAGAAGAGCAAGGGGCAGGTTGAGAATGACGGGAGAGGTTGTGAAAAATGACGTAAGGGAAAGCACCTGATGAGAGGTTTCAAGAGACTGTAATGCCTGGAGAGTTGCCATCAGGTATTCACGGTTGTCTCTCACAACCATGAAAAAATATAACTGTAAAATGGTGATGATGATGTTGATGCCAGATTTAATCATTCAAATTTGGTTTGGAAAAAGTCAATAACTTTTATTGTCTTTGTTTTGTTAATTTTCTGGACCGTCAACATCAGTGGTCATTGCAGCCACCGTCTTGTTAATTGTTCCTATTCCTTTGTTCTTATTCTTTTTCTTCTTCTGGTTCTTGTTCTTGTCTTTCTGGTTCTAGTTCTTTTTCTTGGGCTTCTTTCTCGTTGGTTCTCCTCACTTGGAGGAGTACATCCCTGTAGTTGAGGTTCTTTGTGTGTTTCACCTTGGTGATCCTACTCTCCTCCCTCCATTTAGGACACTCCCGGTCGGAGGATGAGTGCGGACTGCCACATGCCACGCATTTCTTTTCTTCAATCTTGCAGTCTTTGCTCTGGTACCCAGAAGACGTGCACCTGTGGCTTTTCACTTCTTTGCTGGGTCTCCATACCTCTGACACTTGTAGCATCTTGGTACATGTATGCAGAGTTTCACTGGGACAGTGTCCCATCCCGGTGTAATCTTCTCGGGTAGCTTGTGGAAAATTCTGACCACGGCGGAGTTAGATTCCTGGTAGGATCTTGAGTTTACGTTCGAAAGCGAGTTCTTCTACTAGTAGTTCTTGCAGTTCTTTCTTGTCTGTATGCTGTATCTCAGCATGGGAGATAACTCTCCACACCATGCTGTCATCAAATTTGAGGTCCACCTCATTGGGGATGTCATTGATGACTTTTGCATCCTTTAGTTGCTCTGCCTGTCCTAGTCACCGAAGGTAACCATGAGGCCACCACTCGGCAAGAGGTTTAGCTTCTCAGTAGGTGTAGATGCTAGAGGATAAACCCTCACAACCTTTACAGTACAGTACTTACTTCCAATTCGATTGCATGTCTGTCCTATGTATGTGTGTGGTATTGTCAACCAGCCATAGTGCTCTAATAAGGCCTAAAAATTTGGCAAAAATGCTGCCTGCACATAGCACCATAGCACATAGTTGTACAGGTTGTACCTCTCTAGTCCGGCATTCTGTGGTCCGGAAACTCCCGTGGTCTGGAACGATTTTAGTTTGTCCAATAGGTAGATAGGCAGTTTTTTTTTTTTTTTTACTTATCTGAATTATTATTATTATTACAGGAGTATTAAATTTTGCCCCTCAGGCCCCAATGTGGGTCAGTGACCTATGCCCGGGTGGGCTAATCCCCTTAAAAAAAAGCCGCGGGAAATTAAGGTTTGTTTACATCCGGCAGTTCGGCTGCTCTCTCTCTCTCTCTGCTTGTCTATACAGAGTACAACATTTAACCCTTCAATATATATGAGCAGTAAATAAGTGTTGCTTTCATATTCTTATGTAGAGTAATGACGATATATTTTCACATGTGCGCACTTACATACGAGCAGTCTCACTTTTTTTTTTACCATTAATGGTTAGCTACTTATATTGTTCCATTTATTAACATTAAATAACATTACAGGTACTTCAAGCAACCATATTCATTTTTTACATTAATTTTACTACAGCTAAACTCAGGGTCTTATTTTCTTCAGTTTTATATGTAGAACCAATCAGTCATTGGTTTCGTAAGCTTTAACATAAACAATGCCGGCAGCCGTCTCGTCTCCTCTAATATTCCACGTATTATTAATAAATTGTATTGTTAATTTTGCACACACGTACATTAATTCAATAAAAACAAATTCAGAAACATTAATTAAAATATATATGAACAGTAAATAAATGTTGCTTTCATATTCTTATGTAAAGTAATGACGATATGTTTTCACGTGTGCGCATGCGCACTTACATATGCGATCTCTCTTTTTCTTTACGATTATCGTTAGCTACTTCTATTGTTCCATTTATTAACATTAAATAACATTACTTAAAACAACCATATTAATTTTACTACAGTTACAACCAAGGTCTTATTTTCTTCAGTTTTATATGTAGAACCAGCCAGTCACTGGTTTTGTAATCAACGAAAACAATGCTGTGTCATTTCCTCGTGTGTTTTAATATTCTACGTATTATTAATGAATTGTATTGCTCATTGTGCACGCATAAACATTAATTCAATAAAAAAGACATTCAGTAATAAACAATAATGAATCTTTTGTACATAAGAGAAATGATGCTCTTTACACGATTATGCACGTCGTCTGCACGTTGGCGGGCCGTTCAAACCCGTCGAAATTCAAGTTTCCGCCGTCAAAATTTTTATTTATTTATTTTTTTGTGTGTTCCAATAAAATACGTAAGAATTAAAAACTCGCGAAATTTGAGAAGCTACTATACGACATTTAACCCTTCAATATGTCTTCAAAGAGACCATGACGAAGAGAAAGTGGTGCTAGTGCTTCCAGGCATAAGCACAAGTCACTATCTATCCAGGAAAAGGGTGAATTTCCATGGTCCGGCACCGGTCAGGTCCCGAGGTTGCCGGACTAGAGAGGTACAACCTGTATTTTTTTTTTTTTTTATACAAGTTTTGAGTTTACTATACATATTTTTTTTAATTATGCACCAATATTTCTTTTTAATTTTGTCTTTTACTTTGCAGAAATTAGAGGAGATGGAAACATGGCGAGAAATGTGGATACGCTGCTTTGAAGAAAGGGAACGAAAGCTGAAGAGTCTGACTCAAAATCTGCAGCAGAGGATTTCAACAGCTGTACCAAAGCGAACAACTAAGTTAGCCTTTGTTGATACAGCCGCCAAAGTACCAAAAAGTGTTGCCCGTGCTCAGGTAAGCATAAATTTATTGTTGTTTATACACTTGTAAATAGTCTTGGGCTTCATAATCAGGGGATCTGGAAACCAACTTTTGTTTCTTGGAATCATTGGTTTTGTATGTTCACACACACACACACACACACACACACACACACACACACACACACACACACACACACACACACACACACACAGTTTTTAATCCATTGTCATTATGGGTCCTCTTATGACCTGACCGCATAAGAATTCAAATCTTAGATTTTGCCTGGCTCCTAACTTTCATATTTATTTTCATATTTACCTGTATGTATCATCATGCAAACCAAGTTTTTGAGCCTAGGGGTGGACAGAGCCATCTGTGTAAGAGAAGTTGGGTCTTTGATGAGAATCTATCCACATTGTGCAGATAATGTAAGTTGGGCAGTTAGTCCTTTGGTTCTGAAAAGCTGTTGATAGTATCCATGTAGGTCAGTGGTTCTCAACGTGGTCCACTTGGACCCCTGGGGGAGGAATTTTAAGTCCAAGGGAGGAATTTTGGCCATGGAATAAATTAGGGAGGATTATGTGTAGTTCTCCGTACAATGGCTCTCGAAAGGCAACTGTCTGGAAAGGTTCATTGCTCTCTACGGCACCTTGTTGGACTTTGGTGGGGACCGTGATGACTATCAGTTCTTGAAATCCAGTGAACCCAAGGCCTTGATTTCATATCTTGCAGATATTTTGGTAAACTGAACACTTTAAATAACGAACTGCAGGTTGAACAAAAAACTCTCATGGACTGCAAAACCAAAATCTGTGGTTTTATAAACAAACTGAACTTTTGGGGGGGGGCCAGATCTTGAAAAATAATCTGTCCCAATTCACGCATCTCAGCAAATGTGAACCATCTCTGAACATCTTTCCAACCTGCATGTTGAATGATTAATTCTTGTTTAGCATTAAACTTGACTAACAAAACTTTATCTGACAATGGCCCAATACTACATCTCTTTACTGTTCAAGTTCTGGTTAATAAGAAAACCAACACCTTTCTCATATGTTTCACCACTAATGCTATTTGAACATGTCCATCTTACTTCATTCAATCCCAAAATGCCCAATTACAATCTTTTCATTTCCCTAAAAACCTTTGCAGACTTTCCACTTTCATGTAATATCCTCACATTCCTTGTTTATTCTTAAAATTTCTGTCGTTGTGTTTAATGTCCAAGGCTTTGTTTTTCTCGGATAGTACTTGCTAGCTCTTGGTGACTCACTGCCTGCAAGCACGAAAAGCAATGTGGTTGGACCTTTAGGTGACGATGTTCCAACAGGAATACCTAAAAATTCTGTATTGTGTCTGTCCATGGTTCTTCAAGGGCAAAGGATGAAATTAATGAGAGTGGATGCCCCAAAACTTTCCACTTCAGAAGACTAATTAAAGGGAGTAGAAAAGGTTGGGAATGAAATATGGGGTGTAGAGGTTGCTCATACTTCACTCTGGTAAGAAACCAGCCCATCACCTGTGCAGACAGTAAACTTGCATGTTTAGTGACTATTTACTTCCAACTTTATACCCATCCCAGATATTTTGAAGTGGTTCACTCAAGCCCCCACACCACAACAAGGTAACACAAATCCAGGCACTAGATGAAGTTGGACTTGATGAGGGGCATACCTGTATATTTAAATATTCACATAAGAATATCAGAAGTGGTTAATTACATTAAATCTAGCAATTTTCTTAAGTAAGTAACAAAAATTCCTTGACAATTAACCAAGTGAGAGTATAGTACTTAATATTACAGTAGTCATGCTTTAACTGATTGTCCTGAGAACTTTCACAAAAGACATCAGCTATGGTTGGCTAAAGCTATGTGTCATTGGGCTTTATGTGAAATGACCTAGGGTAAAATGGGTGTGGTCTTGGCAAACACACATCTTATCACTATAGTATATCTAGTCTACCTATATACAGTATAAGTATATTAGCTTTAATATTAAACAAACTAATAAATTTATAATATATCCCTAAAGAAAACTATTCAAGAACATTACAGATGTTGTTTGACAATATATATTATTCTCTGAACATCCATTCTAGACCAGCCTCCTAGCTCCACACAACAGACGTAATCCGTGACCTACTAACTAACACACGAAACTATACCTTAAGGAAATACCGATACTCATAGCAGACACGATATTTATTGTAAGTTAGAGGCATAAGTTATGCAGTATTCCAGCATAACTACTTAATTGTACAGGATATGCAGAAAATGGCATAATAAGTAAAGTTAGATAAATTCTCTACCATAAGATATAATAATAATATTTATAGAAGTAAGTTGTAAAAATGAATTTGTTAAACTTTTACTGTTATAACAGGCAAAGTATGGAACAGCAGCTCCCTCTGCAACTGCAGCGAAACCAGGGAAGGCTAATGAAGTTGCAGCACGAAAGACAGCTATGCAAAATGTCCAGCGTGCAGAGAGAGTGGCTGGTAATCCTCGACCAGTCTCAGGTCAGTCTCATAAAATTCTTATTGTTTACCTAGTACTGTATGTAAAACTTCAAGCATGATATGCAAACATGCCCTTGTACCTACTAAGCATTGTTAATTTGTGAATGGTGAAGATGAATGATTGGTGATAATATTAAGCAATTCAGGTAGAGAGGAAGACCAACAAGAGGGAAAGATGGTTTGAAGGATGTATGAGAAATGAAGGGAAAGGATATCCAGGAAAATAACAGTCCACATGTGTGATAGGAGAGTGGTGTTACAATAGTTACCATGAATGGTTAATGGTGAGTGAAGGGAAAGTCTGTATTTGGCCTTGATTCAAACCTCCTCGCAGCATAACATAACAAAGTTTTCAAGGTTGGAAGAAAAAATAAGAGGGAAAGCATATGTTGTAAACAGTATCATTTTAATTTAAATATTTGTTATTTTGTCAGCCAAGAACAAGAAAGTGGCACCACTGATGGCCAAGACCCGACAATTCTTCAAGAAAGCTTTCCGCCGTTGAGATTCCATCTGAACTATTAGTGAGCGTCTTCAGCTTTCTTGATTCAGTCTGAAGACTTGTCAGGTAGTATTGTTAAATTTGGTTGTAGAGTTCAAACCCAAGTTACACCTGTGGTCACCTCTAGTATTATATATTTGACAAAAGGAAAAATAAGACCTAGTAATAGATAGATTTCCTCTGTGAAGGTGAATGAAGGACAACTAGAAGCCTTTGTTTTAAAGAATTAATAATATAATTTTGTATCCAAACACCCCAAAAATAGTGACATAATTGTTTAAATGTATAGACATTTGTTTGTTATTGATACTTACCTTTGACATTAAATTAAAGTTGAACATTTATATATATGTAGACTATACATAGCAAAATACAGTACACAAGTACATCATGCTTAATGGTGCATGTATAGACAGACATATTCAGTTATATACCAGGTATACATGCATACATGTAAAAATTTTATACAGATAGCCAAACATGGATAGTTATGTACATATACAAAACTATATAAATAAATGCATGCAAAGATTTTTATACACAGGCGACAAATCTTCCTTGTGAATAAATAAAACATATACATTGATATATAAGTACATGAGTACAGTATATGGATTTGCATCCAGCAATTCCTATTTTTTCTTACCAAACAAGATAAATATGTGCATTTGCTGAATTTTATACATGCACAGCTGCTGCATACACCTTGGGGGGGAGGGGGGGTTGTTTACAGCTACATGGATGGTGTGAGGTTTTGCTTGAATATTCCCATCAGAAGTTGACTTTCTCTGCTGAAATATCATACTCGGGGAATCTTTTTAAAAGCTTTAGCAGTTTCTTATTTTGCTACATTAGACTTTGTGAACCATGTTAATAAAATAGTGAAGTTTTATACATAAAAAGAGATGCTAATTTTGACAAGTCATAGATAGAAAAATTTTGCTGTACCAGTAAATTAGGAGGATCAGTGTGTTCAAGAAGGGGATTGATGTGTTTATTATTAATTATTGGGCCTCACCAGGGTTAAGAAAGCTTGGTTTACACTTACTGATTTTTTAATTTGCATTATAGATGTATGTCAGTGTCTGTTGTCTGTTATTTGTTTGTTCACTTGGTTTTTGTGCATTACAATGAACTTTATTTTTTGTGTGACAAATTCTTCTCAAGTTTTTGCAGAATAATGGTCCTAGGAAAATGCAGGCCGGGTTTCATATTGATAGTAATTCAAATTTTCATGACTTGGGTTACAAAAAAATCATGACTGCGTGTACAGTATAGATAATGATCCAGTAGGCACAGCAAATTTGTCAAAACGTGTGATCATCGCGCCCATTCACTCCTTGTGTTTTACAAATATTTAGGTCATGGGATCGGATGCTTCTATTGAATGGGCAGCCTTCATGAAGCTTTGTAAGATCTGAAGCCATTTGTGAGATAGGAGACTTTATAGGATATGAGGCCTTTGTGGTGCAGTACTGAGAACCTTTAAGGAATAAAAGACCGTACGTATTAGAATAGGAAACCTTCTTGCACAGGATGCTCTTGTGAGGTCGGAGACTTGTGAAATAAAGACCTTTGTGGGAGAAAAGATTTTTGTAGGATATGTGGCCTTTGTGGGATTGGAGGCCTTTGTGCAAATCAAATAATTTGTGGTTCGGGACTTCGACTTGCAATCAATGTGACTTAGGAATCAACCAACCACAGCACTTTTTTAAATTTAAATTTCCTTGCTTTCATTTATTTTGTCCAAATTTCTTTTGAGAAGATTCCATTAGAACTAACATGACTTCTACCTATTTTTAAATTTTTTTCTTTGGTTGATATTATTTTCTAGTTTAACACACTCCAACTAGGTGGCCTTTGTTTCTGTGCTAGCCAGTTTTTGGGTGCTTGACCATCACGCTCAGAGCCGTAAATAGAGAGAATTCGGTCAACTCTGTGACATGTGGGTGCCTTGTTACTCGGCTGTTGAAGAAGTTTGCACTTGTACTGAAGAGGAGGATGATGATGTTTTTTCAGTAAAATTTTCATACTTGTTTACAATTGGATAAGCATGCTTTTAAACTTTGTGGGAGACAGCCCGAGAAGACTTCCCACCCACTGAGTAACAACATGGCGCCTGGTTGGCTGAACTCTATCTACGGTTCTGATCATGCTGTTTCTCCAATGACATCTTCTAATCTCAATTCTTCCTCATCACAACTGTCACCTCAACAAAGTGAGATTAAAAGCAAAGGATAACCTCTAGAGGTAGGAGGTCTAGTTAGAGACAAGCTATTTAGTCACTACCACTTGTGCCATTGCTGTGGGCAATGGCCAATCCACCAACTTGGTTTTTGTTGGTGGAGATTAGTATGGATGGTCTCTACTGAATACCTTTAGTGTTTATATTATTCTTTGCATCATTAGTAGCATAATATTTAATCTTATGTTGTATAAAGATATTCCTTTGTACCAAGTGGCATCATTTTGGGTCCCTCATTTTCTTTGTTGAGGAAACATGTTGATTCTTAGTGGTGTTGGATTATAATATCTGTACTGAGCTGAAAACTTTTTACTGTACACCACGATTTTATTTGGTGACAAATCCCAACTTAGGTAGAGTCCCTCACCTTCACAAGGCAGTAATCAAGCCTGTGCAGGCTATAAAGAATATCACCCCACCAACCCTGCTTGGTTATGAGCTTCAACCTTCATTTTGTGGGCTGTGGAATCCAGAGCACTAAAAGAAGAGCTTATGGCGTTCCCATCACTGAGGTAATACAGGGGCACAGTGTCACCATTTAATTTTAATACTGCATAATAACAGTAAAGTTGTGTTGTGTTTAGTAATATCAAGGTAAATCAAAATAAGGTTCAATGTAATCACTGAATACTACTGGTGCCTAGTGGTATCAGTGATGCAATGACATCACTATGAGTTGTACATTATTGTACATCACTGGTTCATAATATTTTGTGATATCACCTTAAATCACTTCTTTAGTCGAGATATTATATTGATTCAGTAAATGGAAGTACAATGCTCTGATGCATTCTAATATGACACTTATCAGAATCATATTTAATCAAAATGATGAACAGTGACATGCTTTTTTATGCCCTGCCATTTTCAATGAATGACTTCTAGTGTTACAGTACTCCGGTCTGTCAGTCCGTCCGTATGGATGCTTCCATTCAGTAGTTGGAAAAAAACTTGAGTGATCAGTATAAAATTTGGTATACAGCTTTGTTTTTAATATCATATGAGAGTTTGATTGCCATCTTTTCTCATAAATAATTGTGACTTGTGGTCCTTGTTCAAATTAGAAATATTAGTAAGAGCATACATTACCTTCAGTGTTGTCCATTTTATTGTATTTATCTATAATTTCAAGGGCAATGCTGAATATTGATTTTTCATCTTAACGCATTAGTCATTATGTCAATGCAAATTGACATAATGAAGTCATGATAGTACATAAAATAAGTATTGTTGAATAATATTTGAGTCATTAGCTGGGTAATTTAGCCATTTGGGCACTCTATCTAGTGTTAGTACAGGAGGAAACCGGATACCGAAAAACCTGTTATGTTTGATAGTGTCACACTGTATAACACACTTCTCACGTGTGTCCGGGACCAGGCTCTAACCCTTAACATGTTGTTGAGAGTTGCACGCGTTCCTGCTGTACCACCAACACCAATACTGACATCACTTGGATTGTGACTAATAGAAACTTGCATGAAATTTATCTTAACTCTGAGAACATTATTGAATATTAGAAGCATTACTGAATGTGCTTCCTATTACAGTAGTGAAGAAGATCTGAGACAGAACAAACCATCATTATTGATACAGTACTGTACATAACTTTCTTGGTTTTCCTGCTTTGGATGGAATGAAAAATGCTTATTTGGCAATATTATATCAGCGAAGGAGAGGGGACAACTGAGAAGGAGGTACAAGATTGATTGATTGATTAATTGGGTAAAATATCTAGCGTTGCAGCTTGTGGCTATTTGATGCCGAAAATGAAACTCATAATTTAAAGGAGGCACAAGAAGTGAGTGAGTGAAGTGTGTGAATTAAAGAAACATAAAGTCAAGTAGTTTAAGGGTATGGTACAGTAGTTAGTGAATAAACAAAGGTGTGTAAAAGGGGTCTGGTTTTCTTTTGATTCCAGCCACCCTGCAGCATAGAGGGAAAAGGCTTACAACAATTTTTAAAAAGATGTCAAAACTAGAGGTGACATGCAGAATGCAAGGAGACCTTTTTATTATTTTTACCTGTACTGTATTACTATTATTATTATTAAGACTTTGTGCTTTACTGATGACCTAAAGGCCCCTTGATTATGAGAAGATGGCCAGTGGCAGAAATGTTGCCAGCTGTAGAGGGGGTCAAGGTGGTATACTGTAGTGTAGCTATTGATGATAATAATGAGACACTCAAATTGCCACTGCCATCTCAAACCTAGTCATGGCATAGGAGTGAACTCTAATTGCTTTGATTAAAAAAGAAAGTTGTCTTGGTGTTCTGATATACAGTAATAGTGTGGGTAGTTTTCAATTAATGACAACTCATAACTGCAGGGTAGTTTGCAGTCCAGAGGTCTTGTTTATTTAATTTTTTTGTGTAAGGCATGTGCTGATTATTATTATTTATTTTTTTGCCATTTTACAGTATATAAAAGATGTTTATTTTTAATATTGAAATTAATTAAAATTATAGATTACAGGAATTCAATATCTGAAGTGTGATGATAATTTATTTGAATATAGTGAAGATTTTTATAAGTATCAGCCAAAGATTCTAGGGCTTCTATGTTTTTTTTTTTTTATGAATAAAACTTAAACCTGAACTGTATGTTTCAGGAGTGCTCACGTGGCCAGCACACTGATGCTATGTATATGAGGTTCATGGTTCCAACCCCTTCTAATATTTGTATATAGAATGATAAGTTATGATAATTCAAAAGTGGTTGGTAACTCCCCCAATCTTCCTAGTTTGTATTTACACCATCCTTCTTGTCTAAAGGGTCTATGTGTATGTGACATTCAGTGCACTGGGATTTTTTTTTTTCTGTTCATTTAAAATATTTCTCCTCGTTATATTCATCCCTGTTCATTTTCATATAGGACCTTGTTAACATTTATCTTTACATTAAAAAGCATGTTTTAATATATTTGATAAATATTTCCTTAAGAGTACAAAAAGAATGTTCCAGATTTTGTTTTGGGTTGTGTCAGAATTTGCTATAAGAGTCATGGTTATAATTTTATTTAAAGTTTTATGTTTATTATCACTTTTTTTTTGACTGGAAGGACAAGACTAACAAAATCACTTCGTCAGTCTGGATATTTGTGTTTTATTTTTGTTGTTTAATATATTTTTGCAAGCATGAGAAATCTATTTTTTTAATTTCAGGTTAATAGAAAGTTGGCAAAAATGTACTAGATAAGAACTCAGGTAGGAATGTATCTGTATGATCATTGAACTGGTGTGGGCCTTTTGGAGTGACCACAACAATGAATAACTGACTTTTTATATTCAGATTTGAGGGGCATATTGAAACATGAAAATAATTTTTATCATTAGTTATTATTATTATTATCAATATTATTATTATTATTATTATTATTATTATTATTATTATTATTATTATAATAGTTTTAACATCACCATCACCATTATCATTTTCATATCTATTATTAACTTGCATGCAATTATTGATATCCTCATTTTCATCATTCACCTGCTTCTCCACTGATGGCGCTGTATTCCTTACTTCCTATTACAAGATAAGCCCAGCTCCTCTTGCTGTAACATGATGCACTGTTATCATGGCTGCAGTCACTCTTACATCCTGATAGGATCTTAATTTATAACTAATGTAGTTTTAAAGTTTGTAGGAGGAGCAGTGAGTAATGTGAGCAGTGCTGAAATCTGTGATTAGTCTTTTGCTGGTCCAAGAGGATGGTGTAAGGTACCCATCAGAGGTTTTTAGAAATACGTACTGTAATATGAAAATGGGGTTCTTGTATATATATTGTACTTAGGTCAGGTGTTGTCCAAATGCTGGCGGGGATAGTTTAAAAATTTTGCCCAAGTATTTGTTTCAACAGTTGTTGATCCCAACTTTGTCTGTCCATAAGATCTCTGGGTCATCCCATTTTTGTTGGTTTGTGAGATCTTAGGATCGTTCCAGTATTGTTATTCTGCAAGATCTTGAGATCATCTCATCTTTGTCAGTCCACAGTCCATAAGATCTCAAGATCATCCCATATTTGTTGGTTTGTAAAATCATGGGATCATCCCAACTTTGTCAGTATGTAAGATCTCTAGACATCCAGGACTATATGTAAAAGTTTGTTCTGTTCTTCTGGTTGTATATCAAAAGTTACCAAAATTTAACTTTTTCAGCTCATGAATTGACAATATTCTATGTGAAAGAAAACTATTTCTAGAGTGTTTGGATGGAATAAAGAATTCTGCTATGTACTGTTTTTACTCTCAACATTTTATATATTGCTCTCATTAATCAACATGTGCATTTAATGTGTCAGCCTTAGTTTTGCTTAACCAGCACTGTTTAGAAAATAAGGCTAAGTTGAGCACAGGTTATTGGATTAGTATTACATTCATTTGTTTGCATTGATATTATTCTGGTGTTTAGTAAATTTAGTTTGCATCATGACTGGTTTCAATTTAGTTTGCACATACACTTTATAAAATGGGAAGAGTAGCCACATTCAGAGAAGATCTTGATGTGTTCAGAGTGATTTAACTGTGTGCCCTCCATACAAATTAGTTCTCTACTAACCTGCCTGGCTGAGCCTTGACACCAATCATGGCTGTAGTTTTATACCCTTGGTTATGTTCCTAGAAAAGTTTGGTTTGAATAAAAATGGTTTAAGTGAAGATAAATTTCCATGATAAAAGAGGAGTCACAGTCGAGGCCCCTCATTTTGGTAACATTTCTTTTATGTATCAACTTTTCCTTTGTACACATACAAGGGGTCCTTATTGTTCACCGGGGATGCGTTCATGATGACCACGACTGACAATGAAAGGACAAATAACTGGGCTGACTAACTCATTGACTTACATGTTATACATGGAAGATATATTGTGAACGACATAATATTACTCATTATTTTTATGATAATATCTTACAAAATGTCAGTATAACTGTCACCGTTTCCCACCTGGGAGCTATATTTTATGTTATGGTTATTTTTGAACTCGTAATTTTCGTCTTTTTTTTTATGCTCATTTACATGTACACCCACTAAAGTATCATATTGTATCACGCCGTAAGGGTGCCGAATAATTTTTGAGTGGGTGTACATGTATGTATTGTGCATGTATACATGTGTGTGTGTGTGTACAAGTATCATGTACACTCACTAAAAAATTATTCGGCACCCTTACGGTGTGATACAATATGACATGGGTGCCGAATAATTTTTTAGTGGGTGTACACGCCATCCTACACACCCAAAAAAATTAAAGAAATAATTATCATGAGATATAAAGTTTAAAGTATCTACAGGTTTCCATTGTGAAGCCTTGTGGCTAGTGTGTGTGGAGAGGTCGGAGGGTTCACCATTGCTAGGGGAGGAGACGAGGGAGTGTCCCAGCTGGGCTGCGTTGCTAAGGCGAGCATCCCTTAAACTGTTAGGCAGTGTGTTCACTAACTTTTAATAATAAATTAATTTAAAAAATATGGATGTTAGAAATAATTCATAGGCTTTGGTAACACCTACCTGTGATGGTATTGGAACTGATGCGTATGTGTTGCTGTCACCGTCTGACTGCTCCGACGTTATCAGCGGTGGCAGAGAAGGTTACTGGGGAGAGGAGGGAGCAGGATAATCCGATCACATTACTCTTTGTCTTTGTAACTTTAGTTTTCCCACGAAAGTAAAATTTTTTATGGCACTTTTAAACACTTCTTCCTCTTTCACCATAGATCTTACTGTGGTAGATGGGTTAGAGAAATTACTTGCAATATCCACCTCACTTGCACCAGCCTCAAACTCTGTTATGATTTTCATCCTTTGCTCCAGTGTCATGTTACAATTCTTAGCAACTTTCCATCATGGTGTAGCACTCACACTTTCTGTGTGTTTAAAGGCTATAATAAACATACAGTATGGGAGGCGCTTTATCACAAATGGAACGGCTGGCCAACACAAAGCAAACCAAGCGGGGAAAAAGCCTGGTGCCACTGTGTTTGAGTTTGTCAACAAGAAAATGTCTGATTTAGCTAAAGTGTGTGAAAAAATTTGCTAAAATGTATTGTGATGATTCGCTTTACTTTTTTAAGTGAAAATATATGTAAATATTTTATAAATAATTGTAATATAAAATGCAGTACAGTATTACCCCGGGTTTCACTTTCCGCGATTTCTCATTTACGAGGTACCTTGCCAGGACTTTCACTTTCCGCGGTGCATCTACTCATATACGCGGTGAAGTATAATTTTTTATTTTTTTTTTATTTAGCTCATAAAATTCATACAAATTACCCTGCCAGAATATAATTTATATTGCTGGAATTCTTACAATATGATCATCATTTTGAATATAAACATCATGGATTTTGCATTAGACATACAAATTTTAGATCTAATGTAATAATTTGGTTTACACAAAGCAAATATTTTATTGTTTGTGCAAAATATATGAAGCTTACATTCAAAATATTCCCTGACCTGCAAGGAATCCAGAAATGTCAATTATATTATCCTAACTTTAGTCTGAGGTATTATTTATTACTAAACGTTAAAATCTAGTGGTTTCACCTAAACATTTCTCAGAGAGGTAGGAGCTAGTGAGCTGGGAAGAGGGGGTGGGGGGATTTGAGTCCATTATTTGAATGGACATTAACCTGACGACTGTATTTCTCTTCAATATTAATTGTGTGAGCATACCATCATAAAATTTAGATGTTATTTTTACTACAATGTAGGTATTGTGTCGGAAAAAGTGGAGTTTGGGGGTCGGGCCAGTCTCTATTGGAATTAATCCCATATGTTCTGTTGTTCACTTTACGCGGTTTTCACTTTCCGCGGTACCCTGTGGGTTCAATTGACCGCGTAAATCGGGGTACTACTGTACAGTAATGATATTTAGTAGAATTTTATTTATCGGTAAAATTTAATGACCAGTCAATGAATCAGATATTGCCCCAAAGAACTATCGTACACTGGGCAGAACTTATGTATGGTATGCTGGACAGATGGAAATAATGTACAGTTATCATAGTCGACAAACTGTACACATTTTAATTATTTCCTTATTAATTTAATTACCTGTACAATTTCAAATGAATAAAGGAGCAAAAAACAATGACGACTCCCTCTATAACACTTTAATAACTGTGTTAAAATTTTCATTGAATGCATATTATAAATGAGTATATTCTACTCATCAATAATTTAGCTGTTTTCTCCATGAGAAGAGGCTGACATGGAGGATATATATTGTACTGGTTCCAGGCCTCTTCAAGTGATGTTGCTGCCATTCCTTGATCAAGTGGATGAATTGAAGCAGTGTTACGAGTTCAGATCTGGGGGTAAGATTTTTCTTCTGTGATAATTGTATACAGTTGTACCCCGATTTACGCGGTCAATTGAACCCACAGGGTACCGCGTTAAGTGAAATCCGCGTAAATGGAACAACAGAACATATGGGATTAATTCCAATAGAGACTGGCCCGACCCCCAAACTCCACTTTTTGACGACACACAGCTATGTTGCAGTAAAAATTTTATCTTAACTTTATGATGGTATGCACAAACAAGTATATTGAAGAGAATACGTTAGGAAAAATAAAGGTTAAGATAGGAAAAATAAAGGTTAGGTTAGGAAAACTAAAAGTTAGGTGTAACACTTACATTAGAAGAAGAGATGGGTCTGCATACGGGGATGGAGGCTGGTTCCGAGGCAGAGGGCAGATTACTGGCCCTCGGGTGAATCACCATTACTAGGTGCATCACCATCACTATCAGTTACAGTTGTCAGGGCTTCCCTGACAAATCCCTCAAAGTCACCTTCATTGTCACTATCACTGGCTCTGGCTGGCTGTGGTGGGTTGCGGGCGAAGAACTCGGTAATGCTTTTTTGACGGCTAGTGTTGATGTTGTCTTGATACACCTTGATGTACGGCTCCATAGCCTGCACCAGCCGGGTATGGAAGACTTCATTGCGGTCATCGCCATTGTCGTTGGAAAGGAAGAGCTTCAATTTTTCTGCACACTCGATGGCACCCTTAATATGACTATGCGTTAACTTGTGTTCTTCGGAGATTGAACCACCATCTTCTTCTTCACTGACGTGATCATCTTCCAACATCTCGTCGGCAGTCATTTCAGGATCTCTGATCACCTCCAGGATGTCTTCGTTGGTGGTCTCGGAGAAGCCTTCAGCTGTAATACTGTGCGCAGCTTCTCTGGCAAGGTCCACTGCTACTGCAACAGTCTGAACCTCACCAGTCACAGGTTGACTCCTCCTCTCACCTGGTATGCCATGCAACACATGCCTCCATGCGTGACGAATCATAGCAATAGACAGCTGATCCCATGCCTCCACCAAGAAATCTACAGCTTGTTTGACGTTAAATTTCTTCCAAAACTGTTTGACGAGAACTTCTTGAGTCACCACCTCTTGTTCCTTGTCTTCGTCACTTTTACTCTCGCTGTCGGTGTCACCCAGCTTACGCAACTCATCCTTGGTGTTGGTAGAGTCGTTCAGGAACTTGAATTTCTTTGCCGAGTATGCAGCTTTAACATTGCAGATTAACTCCTGGTCCATGGGCTGGATTAATGACGTAGTGTTGGGAGGAAGGAAGACCACTTTTACGTTGGGGTGACGATCCATAAGTAGGGGCGAGTGTCCTGGTGCGTTGTTAAGGAGCAACAAAATGTTGAATGGAACATTCTGTTGCTCGCAGAATTTCTTGACGTCTGGAACGAAACAGTCGTCAAACCAGGAGAGGGACAGAGCAGAGAACATCCACGCCTTACGTGCGGTTAGCTTGTTCATGTCCATATTCTTGTAGGCGTGCGGGCTGTGTGAATCACCGATAACTTTGGTTTACAGGTACCGGAGGCATTGGTGGTAAAGACGGTGATGCGCTCCTTCTGCAACTTCCGACCCCGAACCTTGCTGGCAGACTGGACAACGAAGGTCTTGGTAGGCAGCTTTTTCCAAAAAAGGCCGGATTCGTCCATGTTGAACACCTGGTTGTCATTGAACTGCCCTTCCTCCATAACCTCACGTAAGAACGGAGGAAAATCTCTAGCCGCCACACGGTCAGCACTCGCTTCTTCACCACCAATGTTGATGTTGGTGATTTTGTTCCTCTTCTTAAACCTATGCAGCCAACCAGAGGAAGCATTGAAGGGTTTGGGCTCTGCACTCTCAATAGGCCTTCCTGCTCTAAAGCCAAACTGAGAACCTGTAAGGATATTATTGTCACTACAGAAGG